GTTTCGTTATCATCAGTCGATAAATCTGCCCTGCTGCACATTTAATTTTCTGCCTATATGTGAATGAAAGCTTGTCATGCGACTGAATGAGATTCGAAAATGGTATCAACATGAATATGTCAATATCAATGAATATACCGCTCGACTCGCTTTTGTAGGCGTGACAGCCAACGATGTTGATCAGCTGCTGCTCGTTCTACCAATAACCTCATAATTTATCGCACTCAAACATTTCCGATGCTAACCAATCGTTTAGCCATTCTGCTTGCTGTATTAATTGGTCGAAGTGAGGCGTTTCCGGTTGTGGAATCTGCGTTCGAATCATTTGCATTTATTTTCATTTACAGTCAGTTTTATTTTCTTCACGAATCCATAAAATGGATCAGTATTTTATTCGTTTTACAATCTGCATCATTCTATTAGCTGAAAAGTGTGTTATTCAAGAAGGAACACATATAGAAGAAGCAAAAACGAAACGTTCTTGGAAGTGGTATGATCGTTGAGAAAGGAGCAATTTGATGTTTTAATAGCAGATGAGATTAGATTTTTGTTTGTTTGTGCAGCGATGATTTGTTCGCTTGAAATTTAAGAAGTGTCACCATCATAGTGCTGACTTAATGCAAGCAAGCATCAACATATTAGCAGTTGATTGCAACCTGAGACCATATGGAGCTTCTTCATGCATTCCCTTTAACAGCATCTGTGATTGATCTGAGTGACACACTTCTCCTGTTTTGTCTACTGCGCATTCCACTCATCAGCTCATATCAAAACGTCAGCTGTTTTCATCACTGTTCACCGCTTTTCTATCGTTTTTGCCACATCGTTTATCTTTTTAATCATCAATGGATTAGTCAGTACAAGCGTAGTGTTCGATACATTTTTATTACTATTGAATTGGAGTCGTTTTCGCAATAGCCGTGTAATTCAGATGCCTATTGTGAGTAGTTTATTGCTTCCAAACAGCGTTCCATTCATTATTTCGTAATCCAGTGGTGAACACTTTCAGAAAAATTTTTGACGTGTGTATATTCAGGTATATTTAAAAGATTGATTATTGCTGACTTAAACTCTTTACAAAACCACACGTCTTTTCCTCTTCCCACTTGATCTGAGTTCTAGCTTTCTTTCTCCTCTAACCTCTCCACGAATCCGTAAAAGATCGTGAATGAAACAGGTGAATATTTTCATTTTCATCGTTTAATAATAATTGCACTCTGAACGATTCGGCCTGATCACTTCCGTGCTGCTGTAATGGTTTCACTCGTTTGATGCAAGACCTCATTTCCTATGAATAAATCAACCAAACGTTTTCTTTCATATTCATAGAAAACAACTTTATTTCTTTGAAGCGCTTAGTTGATTGTTTCTACCTTGACGAATATGCTGCTCAGCAAAATTCAGTACTGCAAAATGAGTCGTAACTTCAGGAGTTGTTATGGAAGTATCGGTTTTTCAAATGTGACATTTGTAATGCTCGTCACCGCACGAATTTTTCGCATTCATTTGATGGTTACCATTTTTCAACTATTCGCATCACTGATCGCGATCATTGGTAAGTTCTTCAGCTTATTCAATGTATTCTTTTACATTCATTTATTCTTCTGCGAATCGAAAATCGCTAACTGGAAAAAGTGTTCAGTCAAATCTTTATTTGCATAGCTTCAGCGTTAATGTCAAGCCAACAGTACCATACAAGATGAGTATAGTGCTGACTGAAAAATGCAAACGATAAATTGTAAGCAATGAGGTGATGCATGCACCACAATATGGTTGTCAACGTAAATCAACTTCTTGCAAAGACATTTACGTGCACTGTTCACTTTATACTTGTGTGTATCGGTTCCTTGTCCGAAAACAATCCCGACTCCAAAACGTACCATTTTAAAATGTTGAGCCATTTGGTATTAGCGCAAGAATCGAAACAGACAACCTTAATGGATGTTAACGGAGTATCTTGTCAAATAAACAAAATCTCTTCCTCAAATAAAGAAGTGTTGATCGACACTAATCCGAAGTTAACAGAGGGTCACTTCCGTCGTATGTGGCACTAAGCTTAACGAAAGAGATTTTCAAGCATAAACATCGCTTTCAACTGCACAACCGACTTGATCGTGAATATTTAGAGTCTAAAGACTCATTCTCTCTTTATTGACTCACTTTTGATTTCTTCCTGTCCTTACTGCATCACTTTCTCGTGGGTCGTTTTCAGAAACGAAAACTGCTCCACTTTTAAATTCCTTGAAAAACACGTTTTGCATTCGTTACACATTTTATTCAAAAAAAACATTCATTACATGAAATAGTACACTAGTAAATATGCCCTCAAAAAGGTGATATTGCGGGTAATAAATATGTGCGATATGATTGTAACACACATTAATTGTCATCGAGTAATTAACAATGAATGCAGCCGTTGTGCGCATGTTCTGTTACTAATAAACCACAAACAAAGTGCGCACAATGCTGAACAAATTTATTGGACAATAAACAATGCGTATGTGTGTATGTTAGACCACAACTTGTAATGAAATTGTGAAGAGGAGTGCGATGATTGTTGGGATGATATTATTTGAACTCAGTGATCCATTCATCTGTTTGTGCTATCCACTTTCAACCCAACAACCACCTATTCAACCAAATCGACGACCACCGGTGGACAACTGTGTGCTTGAATAGATTAGTGAGCGATTAGCATGAATACGAATGTTCATATCAAGTTATCCTCTCAAGTGCTTATGTTGATCACTCAAGTAGATACAAGTCGGATTGAAAGAGCACTATTCCAGATGCGAATTATTATCGCGTTCATTTTTCGGGTGATATTAGCGTCTTCAAATAAGTGGTAGATAATTATATGATTTTGATCATTCATTCAGTTTGATTAATATAATTTCATTTCCGATCCTTTGAACAAATCCAATCACTTGTGTTGAGTATTAAAAAGACTTGAAAACGAAATAAGTATGTGAGAAGAACCAAAACTCTTCAATTCAATACCAAAAATGAGAAAGCGAAATAGTCAAGTTCTACGCTCTGAGAGTCTTCTTCGGCTTAATGAATGCAAAAGTTTTTGATGAAATGTTATTTCAGAAATTTGTAAATTCAGTTTGTTTGTTAATGTGAATAATTCTGGAGCAAAAATAATCTCGTCAATAAAATGATAGATATAAATGAAATAAGTGGATAGCGATATTAACATAGTAATTGTAATGAGCAAGAATCGTTAAAAGCAAAACTTTGTCTGATGATGATCATTAAAGCATAGTTCTAATTCTAATCGTGTCAATCATCGTTGGTTATCTTAATCCGTTGATGTTCGAGAATGCATCAATTTGATTGAATGTTGACCGATGAAAGTGCTAAACAGATGAATGAATAGCAATTTATTGCTTACAATCAGATCAAGATTATTCTTTTCGAATTATATACACATAATCACAACAACCACTTTTCAATCATCCCGAGATATCGCTACTAATCGCTCATATATAATGAACTTTCAAGTGATAATTTCCAAAACAGCTGATAATGAGAATAATCGAAATGCAATACAATTTGAGTGACGAAATATGTAGTCTCTTCTCGAAAGACTGCTGAAATTGGCATGGCGATCACTATACTGAAACAACTTACTCCATTTTGAGCGTTTAGAAATCAAATCATCATTTAGCCACAGACAGTCCTGAAATAAAAATTGTATTCTCTAGGAAAGCCAACAATAAAAATTTGTTGTGACTCCTTGTCAGTAGAGTGCTCAGAATTACGACGGCAATCATTTTGATCGTTAACGCAATTTTTCTAAGTAGCTAATTGTTAGGAATGATCAAGCTTGAAGCGTGTAATTGATGCATTAGTGTGAATGGCATATAATGATGTATGATGGAGTTATTATAACATCTTATTGACAACTATAAGTCGTCTTTCACACTTTATCCAATTATTCTTCACAAATAGCACTCATTAAGAGGACGGATGTTATTACGTTTATCCTTATTTGACCTATGCTGTCTTCACTGCAATTCTAGCAACTGACAAAATAATAAACACAAACATACAATTACACATGTGTTCTTTTGGTCTAACAGTACTATAAATTTGATAGTATTTATGAGGAACAATCTTTGAGTTCATCCCAATAAATAACGAAAAATATGTCGTCACATAAAAGCAGTTTGCAACTAATGTTCACTGAAAAACTTGAAGATGTGAACTCATGTCCACTGGATTGGATTGCTGCTAGTGATTATTGCATAAGGTTTTATCCGCGTGCGGTTGATCCAGAAACAGCCCAGAAAATTTGCATCGGCGACTCGGCTCAACTTCTCAGTATTCCTACTGATGAGAATATTTATGCAAATCTTATCACTGACGTTCGTGCATTGTTGCAAGTAAGTTCAATCGTTCCAGCATATTGTCCTTATGAAAATGAGTTGAAATGCTTCGAAAACCCTTCTTTTCTCCTCTATTTAACTGTTGGTGAATCGTTTTGCATCATATTTTATCTGTCATCCAATTCGCAGCGATATTTCGATGCCGGACTTCACGAGCTTGCTTGGCTTATTGCTGCAAATGAATGGACCCCATCAACAGGCATAACCTATGATGTATGGAAGAGTATGCAGAGTGTTGAAACGCGTTTCCTCGTCTTCGAAAGAACATCTAATCAAAACTATAAATTGTGAGTTCAGAAGTTCATTTCAAAAAATATGGTCCCAAGATGTGCATTTCTACGACTCATGCATAAGTAATTCAGATCTGTGGCTTCATCGACGTCCACCTATCCTTTTATTTGCTCATTGCGGCCTCAGTTCAGGCGTTTACTACAGTATCAACAAATGTTGCTTCCATCAGGTGTGAATTGTTCAGTTTGTTGCTCTATTTTTATTTGTTTTTTAAAGCATCACACATAAGTGGTGAAACGTACAAATTCGAAAATAATGTGTCGTCAAATTGTCAATGCTTGAGTCAGCCAGAAAACATGTGTGACACTAACTGCACCTTCATGTAACGGTCATCAAAGTTATCAGATTGGCCAATCTGAACACTAAAACAGTGTTACTGATCAGACAGTAAGCAGTTTTCTGACGGAATTGATAATTATATGATCGTTGGTTTACTGCATACGACATCAGCTTGCTAATATCTTTTCGATGCGTTTGCGTATCACGTTGCTTGATCTATAATATTATAGGAATACCACGCTTGATTGAGCAACCGAATAAGGAATATTTATATACGTATAGATCGGATCAACTTTATCTAATATTACCATGTAGAGCTATTGGAAAGCCATTTCCGATTGTACGATGGTTCAAGAATGGAGTTGAGGAGGTTTGAAAAGAAATTGCGTTGTTTAATGTCTTCTGCAATCAATTATTGTTACTATTTTCAAGTGGTTGTTCAATCATTGTTTGTTTGAAGCGCCGTTGCATTCTGTGATAACTGCACTGAGCAGGACTCGTTGTCATTTTGTGTTCGAGTACTGCTCAGTTCTAGGAGTGGAAACCTCTTCAGTTGCACAATTGATAAATTTATTGCTTCTAAGTTCTTTGTCTCCACCAGACGAAATCGCCATGTATGGCTCAGTTGTAGAACTGATGAATATAGATAGCACGTTATTTCAGGTTGATTTTGATACTGGTAATTCGTCGTTTCTTCTGTCAGGTGGTTCACTGCTCATCAATACCGAAAATGCGAATGAAAATGATCGAGGTGCTTATGCAAAGTTTCATTGTACAGCTGAATCTGAATTGGGCGTTGTGCGTAGCGTCACTGCCATAGTACGACCGGCATTCATTTCTGCATTCCATAGTTCAAGGTTTGCTCACATATCAAATTTGATAGTACAGTGATTAATTTCACCGTATTTATAATATACTCAACGAAAGTATATTAGAGTTTTGTTATAAAAGCGTTTTAAGGATGGATGTATTTGCATTCAACTCTCCTGGCAGAGGAGCACGAATCGAATGTCAGGCACCACTTCATTATCCAAGTATGTTCAACCCTTTGTTTTGATCAGTTACCTCTCTGAGTCTCATAATTTTCAAAATCTTCGTTATGCATCTATCGAACACAACGAATTGCATTGATTAACAGAATCGTTATCGTTCTCATGGATGACCGACGGATCCACCGAACGATTCGTCTCGCAAACGGATCGCATCTTCATATCTCATGACGGCACACTCTATTTTTCGTACATCCTCAAAGAAGATGCTACTAGGTATTGTCATTAAACGATCATTATTATATTTTCAAAATTTCAAGGTAAATTCTATATTGCAGTTGAATTTCACGTGAAGAATCGATAATGTCAACATGGTAAGTAAGTAGGTGAAATAAATCGTGTGCAACCAAAACAGATGATTTTACAATAAAGGTCTCTTAAAAGTCTGTCTATTGGTGTCACTCATATGATACAGCAAAGGAAGTGACGGTCTCTTTTGAACAGTAGCGCAAATTTGTTTACAATGATTGCAAACAAAATTGACTCCTAGCAAGGCTTATCTCGAAAAGGGGTTTGCGAAAAAATTTCTATCAATTTTGAGCAAAAGCGATCATTCACACCACGCTTCCTTATTATTCAGAATTATAATATTTCAGTTATGCATGCTCATTGGCATTGTCATCAACACAAAGTGGTCATTATGGACCATTTTTCAAGTTGAAACTACCCCTTCGACTTAGTGAGTACACTTTTGCGCCAAAAATCGATGAGCTGCAGCCTCAGGTGTTTCCCGAACATCCTCAACTTAAACATACAACTTATCTGGAATGTTTTGCGTACGCAAGGTATTGACAAATCGGAGTATTCTGAATGTTTTCCATTTCTGACACAAAAATTTCATCTATCAAACTAGAGTATTTTTTTTCCAAAGGTGTCATTTTGAGGCCGTCTCCTCGCTACAAATGGTCACGTGTCGATGGTCGTCCAATTTCCACAAAGGCTAAATTGGTGAATTACGGTCGTGTGCTAAAAATCGATTCATTGGAGCCGGAAGATTCTGGCACGTATAAATGCACTGCCGAAAATGAGCATGGAATGGATAGTGCTGAAGTATCGTTGCTCATCCAAGGTTACTGACGCTTATCAAAAGCCCGATTTACCTTTACTGCCATGCGTGAACTGAGAAGTTTTGCATAGATTTTTGCAAGAAGAATGCTAAGTGCGTTAGTTTGCATGTCTTGCGTAGTTCGTCGATGAAGTTTTGTGCAATTTATAAAGTGTCTGCGGGTGGTTTAGTTTAGGTGCTAATTAATAGTGTGGTTGCATTTTTTCATATTGTCATTTTCAAGCTCGACCAGAAATTTTGCGGCCGTTGACCGATCGGATTGCTGCATCCAATACCACAACAATATTCGATTGTCGTTTAGCAGCATCCGACGGAAACATTGAGTGGTTTCGAGATGCAGTTCCTATTTCACCTCTTCTAATGAGCTCAAAAGATAGGTCAAGGTTCACCATCGACGATTACAAGTACACTATTTGAAAATTTTCATTTCTTTTTCTAATGGACAAGACATTCATTTGCAGTCCAAACGTTCTGTATAAAACAATCAGGTCACCTATGAAAAATGCAGAAAAATTAACATAGTTTCATGCTCATTAGTGAGGAAATATTGTTTACAGAAAATTTTCACTTGGCATTAATGCCATATTGATCGTATTCTTAAAATCTAAAACGTCAGTTTAATCACTGATGAAAAGGAGAGCATTGGAATTGTATTTTCGAGTAAAGAAGTTATGAAATATTTATTGAAGGTTGACAATAAAAGGAATTCGACGGGAAGATAGTGGCATTTACGAATGTATAGCGGTTAATGAGGTTGGCTCAACCAGCTCTTCAGCCCGACTTACCGTTGTCGACTTTATGCCACGATTCGACAGCAATATCATGCCGAAACGAATATTTGCAGTTATTGGAGCTAAACTTGTAAGCATTGTTTTTTTGTTCGCTGGTAAAAACGGCTTTCAATTGAGAGAGGTGGTCGTGTAAACACCAAATATGGAGATCACTTTCTAAAATTGTGACACATTTCGATAAGAATCATTGCCGGAAGCTGTTAAACAAGAAACCACCAAAAAGATATGGCGAAACACTAAAAGCAAAATATTCATAGAAAAAGAAAAGAAAGTGCGTTGTCTATACAGAACTTGTTACGCTTTACAAATGGTATTAATGAAAAGTATTTGAGATGATACCATGTATTTATCATGCATCACCGAATGGATTCGTTCAATGGTCACGTCAGAATGGAGAGCGCGTAGCCGATAATGGGAGAGTACGAGTGGATAATAGCCAACTGAATGCGCTCGTTATTCAACGAGTTGAAAGAAGTGATCATGGTGAATTCATCTGCACGGCTACAAACGAATATGGTCAAGCCAGTTTTACCATTCGATTATTTGTCATAGGTAAGCTCTGTCATTCTGTTTCATCTATTTCTGAGTTTTTCGTAGTGTTCTCTTTTCTTTATAACCACTGTGAATTCATGTTCGACGCATGGTGTTATTTCGCCAGTATTTCTTGTTGTTTGCAGCGGATTAAAGAAGATGCCGAGTTGAACTGACTGAATAATTTTCAGATAATCCCAATGTGATTGTAAAACCGCAAAGCGAATTTCGGGCAAGGCAAGGCATTGATGTGAATATTTCGTGTGAGATTGAAATCGCTTGTGAAGCGCCACGAAATGAATGTCCCGAGGCGTTATTCGAATGGACGCTCAATGATCGACCCGTCCGATCTTTACCACAATATACCACAATGCATTCAATGGTGAATTCTTAGTTTGTTCAGAGCACAACATTTTATAGATCAATAGTCCTTTTCATTTTACGGATATGAGTGGGAGGTTTTCAATTGTATTTAATCGCTGAATTTTTTCATGTCACCAGTTCATCTATAAGCGCATCCCTTTCAGGCTTCTGAAGCTTATGAGTCAGACACAAGCCATTCTGGTTCTAAAGTTAAACACAAGTTCGAACTTGAGGTATGTTGAAAGGTTCAGAAATAATTCGGATTTCAAGTTCACTACACTGAGTTATTCTGTGGTTATGCATGCAAAATGATGATGGTTTTTTTACGCAGTGACATCCAAAATCCGAATATTTTCATTATGTCACCAGTTGATTGAAAGTTCTCTATTCGTTTGAACATGGTTGGAGATGCGTTCATCGAAAAAGCTTTTATGGCTCATCAGTAGTGCTTAATGACAAGCGCTTTCTTCTAGTTGCCATCAGAACTTGGCATTCATCGTGATGGACGGTTTGCTTGTACGTCTTTGTTTGGCGGTGCTGCCATCGAAATTGACAATCGTTACGTGCCATTAGCTCCGATCCATCTGAGAATATCGAATATATCTTCAGAGAGTGCATCTCTATCATGGACACAACCATCGATACGTCAACGTGAGCAGAAACACAATCGGGTACATTGACAATTCCTAAATACTATTGCAAGGTTCAGCGACAATTCGAGTTCGCTTACAACTGCATTGCTTACAGTTATTGCGCTGTGAAAGCGTGATGATGTTTGCGATGTAAACTTGCATTCATTGCAGCCTTCGGCAATCGATACCTATGTTGTTGAGTTTCGCAGAAGTGGAACAAGAGAATGGGCGATTGTGCCTAACGGAACATTACAAACAGATATTAATGCTCCGATCAATTCGCGTAGTATCACAAGTCTTACATCATTTCAATCTTATCAGGTTAGTCGCTAATCTTAGATGAACTTCATTCAGAGATCCCTGGATGTTCTTCTATCTTTTCTTTCACCACTGACAATTACAGTTGATATTTCATTCAACACTTTCGGCATAAGGAAAGAAACGTAGAATTTTCAAATTTATCAAATAAATCACTTGAAATGCTCCATTACTAGGGTGTTTCTGAGGTATTCATGTGGATTCATTAGAGAAATGAATCGTTAAAAAGGAACGCAACATTAAATATTGATCGTGTTCAGTTTCGCGTCAAGGTAATTGCAACAAACGGCTTGAGTGCTATATCGAAAAGTACCGAATGGTTCAAAACTCTACCAGCACCACCAAATGAGATCATTAAAAATGTTACATGGCGAAGATTAGATGCGGAACATGTGCTCATTCAGTGGACTCCTACTGATGAGGTAGTTGTTCACTGCTGTCTATTGCTTGTTCGCTTAAATCAATTCTGTTTATAATTATTTTAGAAAGTGAATCTGTTTCATGAATAGTTCGATGAGTGAATGGAACAAAGCATGAATTTGGAGTTATTGTCAGGTTCTTCTCGGAGATGAAGCTGTTGTGCTACATCTTCAAGATTATGAAATGTGCTCAATACTATTAAAACAATTTTTTTCAAAGAGCAATTACGGTGGGCCCAATTTTCATTATGAACTGTGGTGGAATGATGAGACGAAGGACTTGCATGAGATGGCAATTTTATATGAAAGCGCTCATGTGATTCGATTAAGCAATACTAAATACAACTGCAAAGCAATTAAGTTGTCCATTCGTGGTGTTAATGATGCTGGAAAAGGACCAACAAGCGCCGAAACTGTCTTGCATATTTCTCAACAAGGTAGGCCAAACAAATTCGTTTATATGTACACACGCTGAAAGCAAATGTGGAGCGAATTTTTGAAATAACTTTTAACTCAGATTTTCCCTGTTTTTTTTCAGCGAAACGAGGGATGGCTGAATGAATGCTTCAGAATTTCACGGAATAAAATAATTTCTTTTTTTGACTTTAGAAAATGGTATCATAAAATTTGCATCATTAATCCAACAACAGCCTGTCATAAAATTTGTGAATGATCGTAATCCCAATTCTTTTAGCTCCTTCTCGAAGAGCAACAAACCTAGTGTCGAAAGTTATTAATTCAACTTGCACACTTCTGCATTGGCAATGGACGAGTGGTACCGAATGCGAAAATTTGTATGGTATTAAGGTGTGTAAAAAAATACTGCTCATATTCAGTTTGAATATGTTTTCATCAAAACGAGCATATCGCCTTGCTGATGATGAATAAAGAATCCTTAAAGAAACAGCTCGCGCAAGTGAATCTGTTCTAGATCAGTTGCAAAGCAATCTCGAATGATTCGAAAGATACGCACGTCAATAATTCAATCGCTTTTGGTTTCACACAGTGGATGATATGTGGATTGCAACCGTCCACCGTATATTCATGTTCTGTGATTCCGTTCGACAAATACGCACATGAAGGAGAGCAGAGTGATGCAGTGGAAATCGTCACTAAATCTTCACCGCCTCAACATGCGCCTCATATCAAGAACTGGCGACTTCAAAAGATGGTATATTTAACAACAGTCTCTCAGCCCTTCGTCTTCTTCCGTGAAATTTTGTTGGTTTATTCTTCCAATTAGCACAATATTTTAAGGGAAGTGCTTATTCAATGTATCTGGAATGGAGTGCCGTTTCGCTTCGTTTTGTGCCTTCAAACCTCTCTTCTGATGTCGGATACTACGTGGGTTTTTCATTGATTCATAATTGCATCATCGAACAGACTGTTGCAGATATCAAATATCGTCACGATAGATCAAATAAAATTTCAGTCGAGCATTGAAACACCTCGATGTTTTCATTAACAAGAATGCAATCAAAAAGAATATGATAATACTTTTTTACATGCGAAGTTTTGGTTGCGAGTTCGTAACACATTATGACGCCCAAGAGGGAAAAAATTTGGCGCAGTCATCTGTCAAACGAATTTCATTTTCGGCAAAATTTCGTAGGCTCTCAGGGTTGCTCTCAGTGAGCTGGGACATACACTTTTCAGAGTTTTATTTTTCCACATGAAAATTTGTCACTCTAGTGTATGTGCTTGATCATCTCATGTACACGGCATAAACGTTTTTTTTTTTTTTGCTGAATACCAGTTATTTGACTCTCTCGAACAGAATGCTAGCGTTCACTGCTATTGTAGATCACTCAGTGGTTTTGTTATAGTAAATGCATTGTTAACGTGAATAGTGCCAGCGAGAACGGCTTTATAAACTTATCAAGTTTTGACACAAGGATTGTAACAGCGCAAACAGTTGCAGGTGCAAATTTACGTTTCTGAAACTGCATCGAAGCCAATCACGTTGAAAATATCGGAATCAGCACTTCAAACTCGACGGAAACCACTTGCAAGAATTGATGAGTTGAGACTGATGTACTACTACACGTTCAGGGTTGGTTTACCGTGCATCTGTACTTTTGTCGAAAAACAACATGGGCCCTTTCAAAACACGCGCAAAAAACATGCGCCGATATGGGCCCTTTTAAAGCATTCACTATCATTTCCGGAGACTTTGTTCGGATTCATTATTCCATATGTTGTGGAAAGATAAGAAGAAATGATTAAGTTTTTGCAAAAAATATTACAATCTGCAATATGTATCCAATATAAGAGAAAGTTACATCGAAAAATTTCGTTTGGAATAACAAATAGGATAAAAGCAAAAAAACATCAGCCGGATATTAATTGTATCATGAATAAATTAATCATTCTTGAAATTTGGTTCCATTCCAAACTTCGATCTTTTTTAAAACGTAATCAATTTCAAACTTTATTCGAACTAAAATCGCTTTTTATGTTTTTGTGTTTTTCAACGAAAAATAAACTTTTTTGTTGTATCGTTGAATTTACCGGAATGTTTCAATAACTTTATACAAATCAACAAGATTTTTTAATAACAATCAATATGCTATGAAATTTAGTATCTTCCAGAGAAAGTTGTTTCAAAACAACCACGAATCATAGCATCTACATTTGTGACTTTATATTAGCAACGATTTGCAAACGATGATTTTACTTTTATTACGATTGAATTTCTAGATATCTGGCTACAACGAGGGTGGAGAAGGTCCACGAAGTAAACCATGCTCGATTCGAATCGGTTCTTCTCAGAGCGATCTCTCATCATTAACTTCAGCCTCTCAGTTTGATCTGTTGTTATTATTGTTTTCAATGTACATACCCACATTAATTCAATGAAATGTCCGGTATTCTTTCTGTGAACACATTCTGTTCGAAGATGTAAACATCCTAACAAACTGGTTATTGGATAGGGAATTTCATGAAAAATATTACTGTTTATGTTGATTAAATCCAAATAAATCATTCAAACCGATAATCACTACTCTGATATGAACTGAGACTGATTAATGAATCGTTTATGACTGCAGTCCTCATTTAATTGTATGTTCCGCAGTATCTCATATATCTGATGAATGTTGATTCTGAAAGTGTGCGAGACATTGAAGATTTGGAAAGTGCAAAATTTCACGGATTTATTTTCATATTACGGCCCATCCATCCATCGTCGCAAATTGATGTGCTCCATCCCACTCTCATCTTTCCATATCATCATTCACTTAGTATCAAAGAGCCGTCCCTGAATCGCCTTTTTCTTTTATTACTGCCAATTGTAGTGTTTAGCCACATCACTATGCATATTATGCCATACCGGTGACTTCTTTTAATTGCTATATGATGATGTTTAATTAATCCATGAAATGGTGATGTTTCCATTGTTCATACACAATTTCTATATTGTATATATTTTCAGAAAACGATCATTATCTTTCTGTACATATTGAATAAAATATGATCAGGACAATGTTGCTTCGGACACTTCGTTCATCAGTTTTTTTTTTCATTATTTGTTAGTCTTATCATGTATTAAGAGAAGAAGCAGTGGATCCTAAGAGAGCAAACATCTCTGTAATTTGCTCTTCTACAGCTAATTTATCAAAGACATTATCTGAGAAAGACACACCAATGAACAACGGTTTCTTATTATTATCTGAGAAAGACACACCAATGAACAACGGTTTCTTATCATTAACTGAGAAAGACACACCAATGAAAGACACACCAATAAATTTTGATAAGTGTCATCACTATCTGCTATCATTCACTCATTTGCTTACGAGTGTTTATCGCTCAGTCAAGTTCAACGCGGAAGTACGTTAGGTCTTGTGTTACAGTTGAACGTTTCGCTGATCAATACTACACTTTATGATAGTGCCTAGGCCATTTTCTGGCAGAAGTAATTTTTCGCGATGAACTGATTTTTCAGTCTCACTCTAACAATCTAATCTAGATGAAACAATTTATTTTTTTAATGGTTTCGTTTGTTTCATGCGACGAATTTGCGGTTTCATTGTTTTGATGTGACTTTCTTGTTTTGTTTTGTGGAAAAACTCGATGTTGCTGCATTCTATTTTGATGGTACTGAAGCCAGCACAGTGCATTTGACTCAATTTCAGCCCTCGTTTGGCAAATAAGTTGAGTATTCACTGTGGCCAATATTTGCTGTACCGATGAACGAAAACAAGTTGTGGTGCAAAACGTTTGACATAAATGATCTGACAAACTTAAAGGATGAATTCGACAAGAATGGTTTTGCTGTCATAAATAATGCTTTCGCATCATTTGAATTAGAAGAAATGCGTGATCGCATAAAGGAAATCGTTGATCAAATGAATCCGGCCGATCATCCCAAATCAGTTTTCACCACTTACGACGAGCAGAAGGTTCTCTGAAAACAGAAAATAATATCTTGTAAAAGCGAGCCTTTTTGCGTACCTGAAAATACGAAATTAAGTTGTAAATTGCTATGAAAGTTGTCTCTCAATGTCCAATAAGTTTTTTTTTGAAACAACTCACATTATTCCAGCAAGCCCGTGATAAATACTTTCTTGAAAGCTCGGATAAAATTCGTTTTTTCTATGAGGAAGGTGCATTTGACAATCAGGGTAATTTGCTAGTATCAAAGGAACTTGCACTCAACAAAGTCGCTCACGGTAAGATTGTTGAAATGATACTGAAACTTCTTCAAATCTGAGCAATTTTACTTTTATTCATTTTCAACCCCCACCGAAAGTCGTAACGTTCTTTCTAAACGAAATGTTCAATAAAACTCAACTGGAAGTTGTCCATATAGTCCATATTTATTAGAAAACGCTGTTCAACTTCTTCTATGCAAACGATTTTCGCGTAACATTTCCATATGTGTACACCTCTGACGATCTCGCAGTTAACCTAATCTTAAAATGATATTCTGATTGTTTTTTGCATTCATATGTGAATTCGAAGAATCACGAACTTTTGCAGCATTGCATTGGCTGGACAATGTGTTCAAGAAACACACATTTTCACAGAAAATTAAAGTAAGAAACCATTACTTTGAAGTGCTTCACTTAATCAATTAGATCAAAATCGCTCATAATGAATAAACCTTGAGCTGAATCTCCGAATAGAATGAATTTATTCACCACAAATGGCCCTTTTCGATGAGAATGATTCGTTGAAGAAGGAGAAGAATTATTTTCAGGACATCGTGAAAGCGTTGCATTTCAATGAACCGGTTGTCGCCCAGAGTATGTATATATTTAAAGTTAGTTATTTTTCATCATTCATTCTGTTGACACTCTAAAAATCAGCTTTCTTTAACTATTCGCTAGTGGTTTGATTCAATTCTTTGCCGAAAAATTTGACCACTGTGAAATTTTCAAACTGGGATTTTTGATTTGATTGATTCGTTTTATATTTGTGAGTTGACTTAGATCGATTCTTCTTTAATTTTGTTGGTTAAGTCTTGTAGCATTTGAATTATAACAGCAAATAAATACAATACAATTTCGTCGTCTACTACGAGGGATTGATATCAGTGAGTGATTTATGAATGTGCATCATAATGGGAAACGCGATAAAGAAACAGCCGAAATGTTGAATCATCATTCATTTAAGCAACCCAAAATTGGTGGCCCTGTGAACGAACATGTGGATGCAACATTCCTTTACACTGAACCAAACGATCACTTACTTGGTTTATGGATCGCAATTGATGATGCTGATTTATGTAACGGTTGTCTTTCATTTATACCCGGATCACATAAAGGTTATTCACTTTTCATCTTGACTGCACACGCAAGTTAATGGAAGCAATAAAGTTTGCATTTTTGTAGTTGATTCAATCAAGTATCGCTACAAAAGAACCCATCAACGCGAGGGTGAAATACTGAAATTCGAAGGGAATAAACCAGTGTATATGCAGAGCGAGTACGTCAGTGTTCCGGTTCAGAAGGGTATCATATTCATCTATTTTCAAGCGCTTCAGTTATAAATGCACTAGACTTATTTCATCGACGAATTTTCTCGTGTTTTAATGATTGGAAACGTTTGCTCAGGGTCTGTTGTGGTCATTCATGGATGTGTTGCTCATAAAAGTGAAGCAAACGTATCGTCGAAACCAAGGCATGCTTATACGTTACATGTTATCGACATGAAAGGAGCAACATACGACGCTGATAACTGGTAAGTTCACTGCATAGAGTCTTTAGAAGAACAGTTCTTTGAAAGCGTTTCATAAATATTTTGTACAAGTTTGAATGTCACATGGTTTAGAAGAATAACCTTAGAAACAAAATCATACTGAAGTCAATTTCTACCTTTGTTATCCACTAGTTCTTTTTTCGTGAGCACTTATTTAGCTACAGGAAATTGAACGAGCTGGAATTTTCTTTCAGGCTTCAGCCAACTGACCAATATTCGTTTCCGAATCTCTACGAAAATTGAAAAGCAATCAATTATATCTCTTCAATTGGTAGAAACTTTTCCTTAAAATTTCTTCCCGATTGTTTGTCCTGTTTAACAGGTTTATTTGCAATCGCGTTACAATAAAGAAACATTCTTTGTTGTTCCATAGACCATTCATCATCTTATATGTGCTAATGATGATTTCATTAATTCACTCCATCCAGAAAAACCCTTTAAAGATATTTTTACACGGTGGTCTGTAATGTGAGTTCCGTGGGACTTTCGAATTGTGTATTGATTAAAAACAACACTAATTCTGATCGGATTTCATATGTACGAGTGAGGTGATATTGGTTTTATTAAATTTTTCCTTGATAGATACCAAACGTTGAAAACGTTCGAGATAGTTTTGTGTTTGTGGTAAGCGTGAAAAAGCTTGTAGAACGTTTTCGGCAATGAGTTTTAGTCCATTAGTAATTAATGAAAGTTATATGAGAGCTACTGTGAAACAGATAAATTAGACATGAACACCTTCACCGAGAAGTGATCTTCGGAAATATTTGGAAGTAGAGCATAGAATCGCAGCACATAATACTGCTGTTGTGTTTGTTAGTTGACGATCAACTTAAAAACTTACCCCCATCTTTTGGACTTAGTTACATATCATCTTTACCTATGAGTTATAGCTGAGGCGTTCATTGAAGTCACTTCGATTGCGATTTATGCATAATTATTTTATACAGATTATTAATATGCTGATCAATTTTACTGCTGACATATGAAATCTAATAAATAATTAACTATAAATGCATAGATTCAACTGGTACGAAAATATGTATCTGAAAATACTCTGGAAGGCCAACAAAAGTAAACTGATAATAACAATGCCAAAATACAATTTAATTCGAAACGCGTTGAATCGCTCTTTCGTTCAATAAGTATATCTACTCAAACCAAAACCCCTTCTCATTGATCAAAATAGTGAGAATTTTCACGACGGTCATCACTGTCAAAACAAAGCTCGAGCAACCTGATTTCCAGAAATCAAAAACATCGTCGAAGTGAGCATGGTTCAACATCTTAATTTTCTTTTGAAATATCCTGCTATTATGTGAAGTATCTCGTATACAAACATCAAATGAAGGGACTACTTGGAGAGGGGATCTTTTCAACAAATGTAGTTGCGACTGTGATAAATTACTCACTCTTTTATTTTAAAGCTGCCATGAACTTCCTAGCATTCCAACTGTTCTCAGCAATGCTACGGTGACGCTTAATTGATCATTTTTTTCATCTTTTTTTTGATATGAAATTAGACTATCTTGAGATGTTTGGCCAAGTATTCTACAGGGTTATCATCACAATTTGTAACTTTTTAAGCGAAACTTCTTTTGATTATGGCACTGATTTTATAAATGTTTTGCTTAACTTTCAATATAATCGCATCGTAAAAAGCACAACGAATAGTCAGATAGGTCCGGGAGTTTTGATTGAGCCAACAATAACTGGAACGATCACATCGAATGTATCCATATCGAGTTTGAAAAAATAACTGATTGTGATAAGGCCATTTGCTTTGGTTGATGTCGGTTGAAGACCGCGTGGTATTGTGAAGTCAATGTACTTGGTCTCAGGTCCACTACCCGGAGTTGCTTTGCAGGTACCCTTCAAATTCAAATTATAATTTTTTTGTAAACGAAGTTAATCGCCAGAAAAGGAACGAATTGAAAACTTAACACTCTATGAATCCAATGATTTTCAACCACATCAGTTTAACCAAACTTGCATAATGCTAAGAATTTGTTTCTCGAAAAGACTGCTTTAAAACAAGCTAACGAACATGTGACTCCACAGCAATTGTGAGTGATTTACGGTCGAATAAGTGTAATTCGTATCGATTCTGTGAAATGAAGTCGAGCTGCTGACAAAGGGATATCAATACACACTCATGAGAGATGTCCTTGTGCTTCTTCGATTTCTTCTTCTTCACATCATTCTCTACAGTTAATGTGATTCGCACTGTTTCACCTTCAACAAATTGCTTCTCATTTCTCTTGATTTATCTGCACTGCTGGATTATATTTTACAGTTGTCCATTCACAAATATAATATTGAACACCTACCAGGCAATATGCCCATTTCGTCTACGGTCATCTGTGCAGAAATTGTTCCTATTTTCCGCTTACAAAAACACCCCATTACATCAGACTCTTCCCGACTGCTCGTCGGTTGTCTCATATAAGGCGCATCAAGGTTCAACATTGACACTACCGTAAAGTTGCGTTCTGAAAATTTTATTGAACGATTCTGAATTCAGTCAGCGACACCTAATTCAGCATGAGAATCAATGAAGTAAGTTCAATGCAAGAATCAATCTCACAATTGGCATTCAGTACAAAAATTAGTCTTAGTCATTGGATGATACCAGAAAATGGTTTGGTTCGAACTAATGAACAAATGCTTATGCTTTATTAGTTGCTTTTTAGATGTGTAACTTTCAATTTGATTTCGTTTGTGAGATGTGATACTTTGAGGCTAATGAAAACTGAACACTTCGAATTGGTTTTTTTAAAGGAATGAAACGAACGAACCGGCGATCAGTTCGCTAGCGCCATCTTCCGGTATTTCAAGTGTCGCAATACATGAATACCTAACCCAACCGTGATTCTCTTTCTCAATTGATGAGACAACATCCAATGGCAGCTGTAAGCAATTAACTGCTGTAATCGTTCCTGACAGCTAACTGTTTGAAAGCTCAATAAAATGCCAAATTCACAGCTGAAATTCTTAAGCAGTTGCTCTGCTGCTGACAAGCACTACTTTACTTGGATCGATATTTTCAGCCCCTGATGAAATATCGGATAAATTTGCGACACATATTCTCAGTTTTTTCCTCATAACAACTAAAGTTAAACGTATTCAGTTAAGTTGATTTCTCGCTACAATCGATATGGTTAAACGAAGATACATCACTGTCCTTTCGATCTACTAATGCTGTGATCAAACTGAATAATCGTAAGCCAAAGCATGACTTCCATCATGGAATGTGAAGCTGATCAAGAGAATATTGAACAATTGCAATAGATAACACACTTATAAGTAAACTTACTGGTACTTGAAAGCAAATATTATGAAGGCCTTCCGTCAGGTAGAAGTTTTCATCACAGTGGTCGGTAATTACCCTGAAAATTTCTTTAATGATTGCAAATTTCGCTATGAGTACAAACCAGGATACACGAACAAGTAGTCCATGGATCTGCTTGGTTTAAATGAATTGTATCTCCAGCAGCACTGTGCGATAATCCATAGATAGAGTGCTTTGTGCATGAATAAGATTGCTCTGAATTACTCGAACTACTATCGAACTTGAAAAATATCGAATTACTTCTGAATCAGCGATTTTCATGCTCTCGCACCCCGTGTTCCCCTTTGACTCTAGGACAGACCGTTATTCTTCCCTCTAACAATCCGTATGGTTGAATGAAGACACATCAGAAAACTACATAAACCATCCGGATCAACTTGGCTGATTCTCAGATTGAGCGTGATACTAAGTCCAAGCATGAGCCTCAGATTGAGCTAAGCATATAAGTCAACCAAAGTCTGAAAAGTAAATGAGGCGAAACTGTATTCGGGGATTTCCGCGGGATCTGTGTGGCTATAATATATCCCATCTTGAGAGTTAACAAAGTAGCGACCACTTTTCATTGTCCTCAACAATCTACTTGACCGTGATTCTCTCCCCCTCCTCCGATAATCTATTAATTTTTAGCGATAGATCACAAGTATTTGATTTGCTGATCAAGAAGTTTGGCTCCATGGACTTGTCGGCGGTATCAAACGGATCATTTCCTTGTGATCGCAGAAATATTTCAAGTTTGGAGGAGATATTAAAAAACGATCAACATTAACTTGCCAACCTCCTCCGTTTCCTCCTGATATCCTAAAGCTCCCTCATGAAGAAAATTTCTCCAACCTCCTTTCCCCTCTCGGTGAAAATCACTGTTCTAAATGCGTAAATGGTTTTGCAGTGAAGTGAAATTACTGAAAATGTCTGTCATTATTCGGTTTTTTTTGCTCAGTGTGCAATGTCGAATGCCACATTTTATGGAGTAGTCAATCAAAGCAATTGCAAAGCTTTTACCGAGTTAAATCGATACATTCGTTGAGTATCTGTTCGTTACTTTCATAAACCACATCACTATTTTTGTTTCTCCAACTCGTTTGTACCTGCCCAAGCAACTTAACACTCAATCGCGCTATTTGAACCTTTTTACATACACTGATTTCAATCTGACCCTGAAAATGTTCAAAATTATGCGACGCGAATACTGCTGAAAATTATACTCATAAACATTTTCTTAGTCATCGAAAACAGTCAACAGAATCGAGCAAATCAATCTTTCTCGATGCATAATGAGATAAATATTAAATTAGAACCTGAACGGTTTCTCCACCAATGTATGGCCTATCGGTTTGGTTGCTTAGCAGAACATCAAAATGATCGATTTTCATTTTGTCTCCATTGAGATTTTTGCAGCGCGTACTTTTCGGCTCTTGCCTTGATGTGATGTTCCAATGCGGACAAATCCGCTTAGTGTTCTCCTACAATGAATTTTTAAATATACGTACAACATGAGATAGGTAGCTGTAGATCTTACTGCTTAGCATACTCGATAATATAGAAGCAGAATGAATTGAAGTTGAAAATATGTCAAAATGTGTGATTCATTCATGATGGACGAGTGGCTAAAGCGAGTAAATTCGTCACATAGAGAGTTTTCAATGAATTGAATCAGCAATAAAATACTCGCAATTAATGGTGCGTCAAGACAAGAAAACAGATAAATGTGAATCACTGAAACAAAATCCAAATACTTTTTTGTGTAATACTAGATGATCTCATGAAAAACTATGAATAGATACTGTTTTGGATACTGAAGTAATAATTTGTGAAGTGAAACTTTTTGGACGCATAGAAAGGCAAAATTTGAAAAAAAAAAGTCAGTCGCACCGACAGGAGCAAAAACATTTGTCCAATGAGTACTGGCAACCATTATCATCACAATTAAACGTTTAGCGTCAACAGTCATATGAACAGCTGTTTCTTGGATTATCTCAGTTTGTGAGCTTAACTAAGCGATTCCCATTTATTATTCCAATGAAGACTCGTTGAATGAATTTTATATGATACTCATATTTCAGTGCTAGCAAAGAATTATGATATTTTTAACTTCTGGCAAACATTCGAACTCTTTAAAATGTTTGTGAGGCTATTACAGATGTATCGTTGTAAAAGTTTCCACTCGATAAAAGTTCGTAAACAATTTCTGATCACTAAGCAACAGTCGTTGAATCAACTCATTGTTTTCTTTTCATTTTACTAATGATCGATTACTTGACTCGATTNTTCAATAGTTTCCAATATCGAGGAAGAGGATAACATTGGATGGGGAGAGTCAATGAATTAATTTGGGCTGTTATAAAGCTTTTAGCAACTGACTAAGTGTTGTTACACATACGACATGTCTCATGTGTAACTGAAATGGCCGTTCCTAGTTATTGAGAGCGATGAATTCAATGCGTGCAATTAGCTTGATCACCCGCTATCGATACATAGAAAAGTTCGGCAAACTTATTATTCCTTGAAAGTCTTCCAGTTATTTCGAACAAGCATGTCCAGCTTTGTGCAAACTTATCAACAATTTTCACTGTTCAGGAAAGTCGCATATAAGGTACTGCTGGATCAGTAACGTCTGAACTAAATTCAATATGTATGAGTGGCAAGCACAGTGGCGTCGCGTAATCGATGTAGTGTACTCAATGAAGTTCATTCAGAGCAGAACAAAGAGCACATATCCGAGAAATGAACAACTTTTCATAAGCAAGAAGGACAATCTTACGAAAAACATGTCTAATAAAATACAAGGTACTGCTGGATCAGTAAAATCTGTGCCGAAAAATTGTATCCGTTTCCCACTAACGTTGAAATGCACAGATGATCGTGTGTCGTTGCCGACAGATTATATGCCAGGTGAACTGTATGCGAATGGAGAAAGCGTATGCTTGAACACCTCCGAGAAATTTATCTTAAGAACATGCAATTTTCTTGAGTTTCATTACTGATTGATTCATTCAATGATATTCAGTGCTTATGAGTATAACACTAACTGATGTGGGAAGATGGCATCTTTAACAGAAGATTGAGGAAAGATTTATAGACTTACAGGATTGTACAGCTTGGAATGATGTTCCAAAAAGTTCATAATTAATGAATGTCGTCGTACGTATGGCAACGAATGAGGACAAATAATGCAAGTACCATTAAATGTACGAGGAGTGACAAAATGGTCGTTGAATTGTTATGATGGGCTTCAGTTAAGGCCAGCTGAGCTAGACGAACGAATGGAATAGTGCAAGTAGTGAGAAAGTGTCGATTGAGTTGTTTTTAACAAGCTCGTTTTCATCATCAATTTTCTTATATTATTTTATGAGTCAAACTACTCATTTGCTTCATCACCACTGCTTCGACGCACCCTGCACAACGGCGTCCTTTCAGCTGTCTCATACGGCACTAATTGCATTGCAAGCGAACGCTAAAAGATTGAATTGTCGTATTAACTATTTCACTCTGCTTCGCCAGTTTCCATTTCATCCAAATCATTCAATATGCATTTGCATTTAACACTCAGAAACAAAGTTCATTACTTGTTGCTTTCTGAAACAAACAACCTTTTTTGCAACACTTCAATTGATATTACTTTTTCTGTTATTTTTTTGCAGCTAATAATTTTTGCAAAATACTAATGCAACACACAAGCTTTGCAAAAATGCTGTCGAAAATGAGTATCACATGCGCTGAATAATGAGCATTTGAGTGTTCACTGGTACTGCTGAACAACGAAGAGAGAGAACGATGTGTAATTGTGTAACAAAAGATATTTTCGTGGGCCAAAAAATCTTATCAAATCAATGTGAAAATGATATCCGAATGAGTCAGCCGTATGTAATGTTTTCGTTTGAAAATCGTAATTTCGTTCGCATTTATCGGCGAAATAAGCTACGACTCTCACATTATTGAAATGTCAAAACCAAAGCAATCGACGGACACCAATGGGCCAAACGCTCTTATCAACCATACCACATTTCAGATTGAACTTAGTAGTTTATAACTTAGCAATGGACAGCAGGCTGCCGCATTACTGCTTTGATGAAGTGACAACAGAATCAGATGGCTTATACGGTAGATGTTTGGGAATAGTGAACATAATGCCTAACTACTTCGGGACTGATTAAAACAGCAAATGTTTTTCTATTAATTGATCATTAAAATTGCTATGAATTGCACTGTAAAATTGCTCTGAGTGCCATTAATGAATTTTATTGTTTCGGTTTTTCACTCTTCTAGTTATGCATTATCACATCACCAGAAAACTTTCCGTCTGATGGTAGAGAATGCAAATCTTACTGGCAGTATAAGGAGAATTAGTAGTATAAGGAGTGTTCCGTTCATATTTTGTATATTGGCCTCATTTAGCACTTGCCAGCACAATGGAATCCATTTGTTCACTCATTCGAGAACCCGAGGAGAAGCAATCATAAACGCTGTTTGTGCTTACAGAATTTCCTGTTAGTAAATTTTCACAGAACCAAATCGCAACTTTCATCGAGTTCCCTTTCGCAACTTCCCTTTCATTATGTTTTGATTCCCATTTTATTACACATTTGCATGGCAACTTAATGAAATGATCTTTTTGAGAAGCCAATTTGACCAAAACGAAAATGCATTGTAGGAAAAAATATGATGAAAATAGACATATCTGAATTTCAACGACACTTTTACTGTCCAAATCGGCAGAATCTGATACCAGCTATTTTGCATTTCAGTGGTTTTGAACGTATTAAAACTCATCGAAATTAGCAACCGAATTAGATCATTTCAATGAACAGCATGATAAACCGACAACGATCCAATGAACAAAGTGTGAGTTCACACAACTAAGCTGATAATTTCTAGCACATTATCTCGATCATACGTCGCATTTAAACGAAAATAGCCACGAAGAAACGGTTCTGGAATAATTCAATGACATACAATCGGTGTGGACCACATGATGCATAAATTATTTACGATTTGCAATTGCTAACTTGAAAAACTCGTTTTCTCGTTTAATGTAAGATAACATTTTGGTTGTAATTGTGGATAATTACACTTCTGAAATATTTTTATGCCTATATTTCGGTTTGGCAATAGGAAGCTTTCGAAATCATATTGAAAGCAGATGTTTAAGCCGTCGTATAGTTGAATAATAGCCATAGCTGAAGTAAGTTCTAGCCTCTATCATATGCGAATTTAGAAGCCCCAACAATTTGCTGGTTAAAATTTGAGTTATATTATAAAAGCGCGTTGTGCAATGTTTGTGAATGATGTAAATTACACGGATAACAACATTCAGATATACGTATGGAATTTGTATTGAACTAACTAAACGAGATAAGGATATGCTGAAATGAATGCGACTTTCGTTTATCAGAAAGGATTGATCTGCAAATAAATGCAGAGCGTTGCAATAATCTCATACGTATTTATCTTCAAACACATCAAATGCCAGCGATCTTACTTCAATGCCACATTGACAATTCGATTGTCTGTTGTATTGTTTCAACATAAACATTTACTATTAATTCATTTAGAAAACTTCTTAGTCGATCAAAATTCTTAGCCGATCAACATTGTGAGCAAACAAAAAAGAATTGCAGTGATAGGATAAAAGCTAGTGGATAAATCAAGTGCCAATAAAGCACAGCTTCAATGCATTTGATCGAATATCAACGAAGTTCTGATTGTGAGTAGAAATACATTAAAATAACGATCACCTCATTGCTCAAATTTGATCAGTCTTTTTTTGATCAAATTGTCTCTAACAACCTCTTTGATGAATGCACATTGCAAAACTCAAGTTGCTAGCTTCTCAGGAAGCGTACTTCTTGCATACATCATATAGTGTACATGTAAATTTGCAATGATATATTAAACACGAGCCAACTGAATTCAAGCATATCTTATCCCGTAGATCGTAATTGTTGTTATGAATGTGCTTCTATAATTCATCATCACTTGTCTCAATGAACGGAACAATCGGAGCGTGATAAAGAATATGGATAGTTCACCATTTTAAAATCATGGTCCTTCATTCGAAACTGGTAAATGAATTTAACTTGAGTACATTAGCGGTATTGATGAAGTTTACCTTTTCAGCTTGCTCTATGCCTTCAACAACTTGAACGACATACCAGATGCTGTTGTTTTTCTAGGTGAATTTCCACCAGAAGTGATAAGAAATGCTTGATGATTACATGAGAACAATCAAAGATGATAATGCATCTCTCTTCAGACATTACATCAATTAGACGTATATCGAGCTTCTTAAAGCTCGCTTCAAAACAGGAAGTATTACAGTTTCTCTCATCGAACTATTACAATTCCTCATAAACTTAAATGGTTCCTCAGAAAATACTACCAAAAAGAGAACATCCAAATCGGATACAAATATTGATGACAATTTGTTTCGAATGGTTTTAGAAGGAAGCGATCAACTGAATATAATCCAGAGAGCAATCTGCAACAAAGTGGCAATAGCTGAGCTTAATCGTTTTATTGTAGTAGCAGAATTTGACACCTTACACGGAATATGCCAGAAGATCATTTCAAAACTTCTGAATCGTTGCAGATCATTTCAAACTTCTGAATCATCAAACTTCAGAATATGGAAGTATCAGCGAAAGTGGGACCGATTCTGATTTGATAAAGTAGAATAAATCTCATCGATCGACATTCGAAATGATCATAAACAAGAAAATGAAAGCACTAAGGTATTTCAGGAGTTTTCTGCAAGTTGAATTGTTTTCCAGGGGCTTGTGAATGAATTGATAATCGTTAACCTTTCAATTAGTATGTTCATGGATGCGTAGCTGTTGGTTCATGTTCATTTGGGGTCATTGTGTACAGAAAGCGCAATGAAGATAAAATTGAAAATGAAATTAAAATGAGTGATATTGATGCATACATACAAATAGATAAAAAGACAGATCAACTTTTTATGAAATTCACAATACTCTTCTTGTACCTTCGTTCGGTTTCTCATTCTACAATCCATTTTCAATTTAACTTAGTATCCACTCAATAGAAACGATTAATTGCTTCTTCACAATATTTCAACCATTTTATTGAGAGATATCATATAACTACTCAGTTTTCATCACTGAAAAATGGTCTTATACTGCACCAATGTAACGAAATATTCTCTACTTCCATCCCATTGAGCATATCTTCCAGCGCAGTGCTCCTCTTTTTATTAGGCTTTTACTATGATTATATTGAATTATTTCACATGAAACGATTCAGCTGTTAACACTGAGGAAGAAGATTATTAAATATAAGATGAAACTGATAGTATAAAACCATGTATGGTAACGGTGAACCAATTCGAAATGACAATTCTTGAGCAAAAAACACACAAAAAAACGATCAACGCTCAAATTTAAAAAGGATACAATATCATTTAATTCTTAAAAGGGCTGTTTAAATAACGTTGATGAGTCATTAAAAAACTGACTTTATCTTATCTTGATCATGGTTTTTTGTTAAATTTTCAAATTATTGTTACTTATCAATGAATGACATTCACATTCAACAAATTTGCATGAAGTGAATATTTTAGCGGCTTAAAAAAACTTCGCAGCTAATCGAAGGTCACTTTATTTCGAGCGTATAAATACATAAATAAATCGAAAACGATGAATCTAAGTCTACCAGCAATGCATTTCTTATTGAACAAAAAAAGTATATAGATATGAAAATGAAACGAAATGAGTCTAATCGAAACGCTCAAAAATTGAGTGGGTTTTGCTTGGCTGTCTTTCTCTTCTCTAGAACAATGTCCACAACTGTCACGTCACAGTCAGTGTGGATGGATGTGGGAAAATGAAAAATTACATTGTAGTTAGTGGTGATGTAATACAATCTCACTTATAAAATTATGTTCCTTCTTGAGGAGGATGCGATTTTCTCAAATTTCTTGAGACTTTTCGTTTCATTTGATTACTTTGAGAAATCGTCCACGAATCTAATTTTCGAAATCGATTTTATTCGTTTATGCGAATCGGATTTTCGACGAAATATTGACATGACTGAATAACTTGATTGACGAAAATTAGTTACTGCTCTATGGTTTGCATCCGTCATCAACATGTGATTTTGTGCTGGAAAAAGCACTAAAAGAAGTAGAAACGAAAATATGATCATCAGAAATCGGAGTAGTTTAGAAACGACCAAGTAAAGTGGATCGATGATAATGCCTCAGATTTTGTGAGCAGTCAAAAATGAATATTCGAAATCTTTAGGCAGATTTAGCACATGATATTTATACGTTAACACACGATATTTGATGCGATATGTCTGTTCAATCGTGAAATGGCGATAAAAGAGTGAATTAAAATGTTTGCACACACGAACTGAATATCATTGTTTCCAACTGGACAGAATGTGATTATTAAGGTCTGATAAGTAATAGATTGTGAAGAAAAATGTGAGTTTAAAGGCAACAGTTGGGGGTTGAAGGCATTAAGCAAAGAAGTGGAAAGAAATTGTGTGAACACGTTTTAAGTGATGTTGAGACAGAAGAATAAATATTGGCATTTTGCAGTTGCAGAGAAGTAATATATGAGAAGCATGTTAAATGCGTCAGGCGCTTCCATAAAAGAGTGGGCTCACAGCATTGAAGATTAGACAAAACAATGAGAGATTTGCGTTCGACTGGCCATAGCCAGCCATGTTACCCCCATACACAATGCCGCTTCGTCCCGCGGGGTTTCATCCAGTATGTGCATCACTGAATACTATTCTTCCAATTGCACACATCTCGTTATAAATATCAACTAGTCCTGGTGCTAGAACATGAATAAATGACTAGATATTGTTGCATATTTTTATTCACCAGTGGATTCTTTCTTTTCGATTCGTTAGTATTTATGAATTACCTGTCCGCATTTATATGCTAGGCACATTCAAAACTATACAAAACGTTGGCTTTTATAGACAAAATGACCACCTAAACAACTCAGAATGGAAATTCATTGCGGTCAAAAATTTGAACGGGACACGTTTTCAGTGTGACTGATCTGGATCAAAAATTCAAGTATCAAATTTTCTCAGGTATCAAGTTGAAAATTTCCTAATATTGAAGTTCAAAGCTTGAATCGATGATACTTTAAATAGTACATTGACGTAAAGTATCAGAATCACGTCCTTACATTGATTCAAACTGGAGAAGCAATTTCTATTAAGCACATCACTACATGGAAGAAATGTCTTCAAAATCAGAAAATATTATAGAACAGTGCGACTTAAAATCAGTGTTCAAATTTTGCGCTTTTTTATATGCTCTCGCAAACTGGTGCTTAAACCGACTGTTGATGAAGAATTGGCGAATTATTTCCTTCACAATTGGCGATTTGATGACGTACGTATGTATGAACATTAACGTTTCATTAAGCAGATGGAGAATATAGACAAGGAAAGATTACAAAATACTAGTTTGTTCGAGAGGCGTAAGCTCTGGGCATTTGCTTGGTTCATGAAGGCTGATCAAGTTAAATTGTTCGAGCCAACTGTAAATCGAGCATTCTGTGGTTGTTAATACATTTTATGCTTTCATGCTATCACTATATTATAAAAAGCGTTATTTTACTTTTATTTTCACTAAAAATAGGTAGTTTTCAAAGAATGAATTTATGAGCATTCCGTTAGAGAGGCTTCAAGCTGATCTATATGCCGTTACCGACGTTAACGCTAACGGTAAAATTTCTCAACACTTCGGCTGGCATTTTTGCAAAACATATCGAATACGTATGTCTCACACTATTCGATTAAATGTAATCACATTTAACCAATCTCACTGTTAGTTACATTTAATTAAGGGTCATCATGGCGTTGTTGGATTTGCAATTATTTGATGAAGTTCGCCGAATGAACATACGCCAACTTCTCTATCAAGGTCTCAACTTCGCTATGATTATTTGCTCTGCTGTTATGATCTGGAAAGGACTCATGGTTGTAACTGGCTCTGAGAGTCCTATAGTCGTCGTTCTGTCCGGCTCTATGGAGCCTGCATTCTACAGGTTTGCCGCTCACCATAATTTCATGCAACTTACTGTATTTTACACCCAAAAAATTGCCACCCATAAAGCAAAAGGAAGCTAATATAAGAAAGGCTTGCACAGTTGTAACATGAAAGGTAACTGTGGGCAGTATTTTTCGAACAACAAGCCGCCAGAGAGATTTGAAGCAAGTAACCAAAGTTCAAAATGAATTTTCAAGTGCAGCACATGTGGTTTGAATGTTTAAGAGGTGATTTACTGATGTTAACGAACGATCATTCGGACCCGGTCCGTACTGGTGACATTACCGTATTCAAAGTTGAAGGACGCGATATTCCAATTGTTCATCGAGTAATTAAAGTGCATGAAAAAAGTAATGCAGAAACTAAATTCCTCACCAAAGGTGACAACAACCAGGTATATGACGATACTTGCTATCGGTCCTTAATTGACTTATGAGCAACATTTTCCGAATATGTAAAACATTGTCTACCATTAACGCGTTTTTGGTATAAATTATGAGATGAAATCATTACTTATTATGGATTCTAACTGAACACGTTTAGTTACTCAGATTTGTCTCACTTGTCGCATCACATCGTTTTTAGCATGTTTCTGCTGATGCACAATTGCCAGTTGTTTTTGATTGTTGAACCCACTTCACTCAGTCCTCAAACGTTAATTTATTCCAGGTTGATGATCGAGGGCTCTACGCCCCGGGACAGTTCTGGCTGACAAGAAAAGATGTTGTTGGCCGTGCGAAAGGTTTCGTACCATATGTGGGTATGGTCACAATTTTAATGAATGATTATCCGAAATTGAAGTACGCAGTATTGGTTGGGCTGGGTGCCTTTGTTCTTCTTCATCGGGAATAAGTTGATTCATTTTATTCCGAGCAATTGTATTCGTTCTGCTTTTTTGTGTTTCACAGAGGGGGCAGAAGACAGTATTCTGTGGTGACTTTTTTTGGTGAGGGGGAAGGGGACGGATTGGAGTAACATCAATATCAACTAAGGTGGATTGAATTGATATCAATATGAATAGCCCATAATTCACGTGCCCATCGGAAAATTATCGTGGATGTTCCATTGTTGATAGCAAAAATGGTGTCCAACTTCTTGATGACTATCTGTTTGCGTTTTCGAACCTTTATTTCCTTCGATATTTCGTCTCATAATGTGTTCGCTTTATTGGTTTCATCTCTTAAGGGTTTTGTTGTAGTCTCGTGTCGCTCTCGCTCTATACTCTAAAACGTATGTTGGTGATTTCTTATTCAGGTTCGGATAAACAGAACAGTTCCTTTGATATTGATAACGATTATTTTTTCATGGTTGTGGATGATTTTTCATGAGCACTTGTCCATTCATTCGCATGTGCTGTAATTTGCATAAATTGGTGATTGTTCACTGTTTTTTTTTCATAATAATTTATATTATAATAACCGACGACAGAGCAAACCAAAACGATTGAATGTATTCGCATTTCATCGCTCGTTGTTTTTAATAGTTAGACAAACATTTCGACAATTCTTTGTATTATGCTGCGAAATAAAAGAACATGCTTATTCACGTTTTGTTTGAAGACTGACACCTCCAAAAAGGAATGTCTGATTTCGATGAATGAGATTCAGTTCCGTCGTCATTAATTTATTCACTTTTTTTTTCAATTTGTTTTTGTGCTTGAAATAAGAATTGGAACGATATTTCTGTTGTTATTTCTTTTATTGTTGTGAAATATAAATTGATTTTATTGTTGGATAATGGACTCCTCACGTCTACTATACGACAGTTGTTTTTAGGATACGGAAATTAAAGGAAGGTGGAAGTAGACCTTAGTAACATCCTCATGATAGAAATGAGAGGCATGCTGTTAACGTTCTGCACTTGTCGTCTTGAACACAGTATGTGAGCTGTGCCAGAAAAATGGACGGGTACGTGTACTGAAATGTTCAAAAATAATTCTTTTTTACTGGAAAAATTTGGGATGCCAATGAACACAACAACCTATAGCGCAGATTCAACTCCATTGAACTGCCTATATGTTCGTTCGATACGACGATGATGTGAGTAATATTGTCATTTGGAAAATATTCCTTTCCAAAGAAAGAGTGAATTTTGCGTGTGCTCCGAGTTTGCTATTTAGTCAGAATGTCTGTTAACTAGGTTGTAAGAGAATTTCAGTAGAAAGAAATGTGTGAAAACATGTTCAGCCGAGCAGAATATGCAAATCTGAATGTGACCGTTACGCTACAAAATCTTTCTTTAAGTGTTCAAAGCAGATGATAGTGATCGACGTGATTTTTTTTTCTATTTTAGTAAGTCGCCATTATAATGTGGTATTCATCTTCTATCATTTTTTATTTCATCGCAAGACAATTCGGAATTGTAACAGTTGTTGTCTATTGCTCTAAATCTCTGTCATTAAAGCATTTAATAGAGTGTCGCTCGCGCGCCTACACATCAAATTTGCATCCAAATTTCCGTTGAGCCTCGTTACTTGCGCACTTGGGTATATTTCAAGAAAAGATGGCCATACTACACTATACTGTACCGCTTTGAACAGGATACTGTACTCTAGAGTATTATACCCGACTGCTCGATTGCGGTAAAAGCACTAAAATATAAGGGATATAGAGAGGGTACGGTGATTTATATTGATTTATAACGCCCTACGAATTACTGTTCCAGTTCAGGATATTTCGAAGTGTTCTTTTCTTTACGATATTACTTGCGGTTAATAACACGATTGCTCTTGAGAAAACATTTTTAAACGATGACACAACTGCGTGATAAGTTTTGAGAACAAGTGAAAACATTTAAATGGCAACTGAGTTAAACAATGCTCAATCAATATTTCAAAAGTCGAAAATTTTTTCACCAATCTGTTTTCACTAAATTCACTTATTTTTCTCTAACTGAACCATATATCCTTTCGCTGCGATTATTGACCGTCCGCGCACCCACACAGTGTACCTGAAAATGAATGATCAGTGTTCGTGTTCATCAACTGAGATTCCGTTCATCTGAAAGAAAGAAACATCGACAAAAGAGGAAGCAGCATTATTTGCCCCCATAAGATCAATATTATTGTTGCCGTTAATTAGACGCCAATTAATGAGTGATAACCATCTTGTTACAAATAAAATTCAGTTATCCTTGACAATCATTTAACGATGAACAAAATCTAAATAATAATAATGAACCTGCTCGACCAAGACGGAATATAGTCGTCATCACAAAACGGATAAGCGTTATTAGTGCAGATACCTTTTAAGGAATCTGATGTTATAAAGGGTTTAGGATCGTTATGTGTTAATAACTGAATGTCATTCGCACGAGCGTATTCTTGTAAATCTTTCGGAACCTTCAAATGAAAATTTTGTTTGATGTGCTTTCTGAAAATTTCAGTTTTTCTCTACCGATAACACCCACAAAGATAAACTGTCATTTGGTTAAGAAATAAATTCACTGATTAGTTGAACTTATATATTCAGTCGATGAAGTATTCTGCATTCAATTTACTGACGAATGAGAAGATAGCAAGTGATTATAAGGAATGATAAGAGAATAACTAACTGTACAACATCCGGCTATATTGAAATGATCGATTCTTGGTTTAATTTTGGCGTTTTCATAAAGCGCTTTCAAATGAACCAAATCAAAATCTGCGACACCAACTGTCGAAATTTCGCCCCTTTCCATTAAAGCCTCAAGCTTCTCCCAAACCGACAGCACGTTCTCAAGCCACTTCTCGTCAATATCTCCTTCATCAATATCAACGCTATCGAAAGACATGATCAACTGTTCAATACTGTCCACACCCAACTGATCTTTTGTCGTGTCCAAACAATCAACTACCTCAAATTTCGCAACTTCATTCGTTCAGCCTAAGAACCAAGATCAAACCTCACGCTATATTTGGAACTAATAATGATCACACAAGTGGATTCTTGCTACTTGTAGAATTCATACATTAAACGGTATAATCCAATGCGTGCAATAAATCATGACACATAACGTTACACTAGTCGTTGCTAATCAGCGCATTGAATGAAACACTTTGAATCCAGTTTCCAAAACCATTCACTATTTGGGATGAATGCCAATTCGCATTGAATGATGTTTTCTGCATTTATGCAGCAATTGAGTCAATCAGCCGCTACTTTATGGCTCTAATTTATCGTCAAATATGCAAAAATTGGTACCTACAACTGAGTGTACAGTACTCACATTATGCCATCGAGGACTGTTACCTTAACAGCTGAATTTTGCCAGATAATGACTATTATTTGGGTGGTCTTTTGTGTATATCGCAAAACAAAAAATCAGGTAAGCGATCGACACTCCACTAAGCGTTTGGGAGGTGAAAAATAAACTCAGGAAAATAATAAATGGATTAAATGAACACCTGATCGAAATTCATCGAAGACATGAACACTTTCAACGTGATTTTAAGGTCATTACGTGGATATGTGTTTGTATCCATTGCAGCCAGCGAGATTGTATCACCATTCCTTAAGAATTACGTTTCAATTCCAAAAAGCACATCAACAAGCATACTTGAAAATCAGTTCTGCTTCAGTGCCCTATCATGATCACTTTTATTAAACGACAATCATTGCATATTAGCAAACAGTGCAACAGTATAAGTTCTCCGCACGGTGATACATTTAGTGCTTCTCACCCCTCCACATCACCTGTGAATTTCTGAACGTCTCTCATCCATGACGAACGGGACACCACTTGGTTGTTAGGCGTCATAAGCGGAATGATTTGAAACTTCGTTATCTAGCTTGAACCTTCAGTGGTTGGGTGTGATTCACATGTTTTTTTTTCAGGTACTGAAGCCTAACCGTTTGGTTTCTTATCGTTAGGAAAAGCGACGTTAGTCCACGAGGGTAGCATCATGACAGAAAACAGAACAGTAATCAGTGCGTGTTGCGCTTTGGGTGGTCTAAGAAGTGATACGACGCTTTTTATTTCACAAGTTATCAATGTGAGTTTAGATTGACTGTCTGATAAAGATTGAATTCGAAAACGGTTGTTCATTTGCAATTGCGGTGAATAAGTTAAGGACATGTTCGCATAAAAATTTAATAGGTTGGCAAATTCATCTGACGTGAAAGAGATACTGTATGTGCATCCTTCTCTTTGAAATGCCATTTTCAGTAATCGATATTCACTTCGTGATGCAAAACTCGTCCAAGAATTTTTCCAGCTATCATTTTAGCACATGCAATTTGTAAGCCGTGCCAACGTGATGAGTCTGAACCGAAGTCAGTGCCACGCTAATGAACAATACTGCATCTTTCGAGTCGTCTTTCCCGCATGGTAGTTCGCCTTATGGTCATTCTCAACCTGTTTCGTTGCTATGTTCGCTATGAACACATTCAATTGTTCATTCCTGTAGTGGGAGCAGTGAAACGCTTATCTGTTTCCTCTTCACCATAATTCAGCAACGTAGCTCCAAATTTATGAACTTTAGAATGAACGCCGTATGTATAGTGATTATGAAGGCAAAAATCGAAACAAAACAACAAAATCAATTTAAAAACGAACTTGAAATGAAGCGTGGTGTTTCTGCGTAGTTCAATCCGCAACGCAGTGATCAGCTCTTCAGCGGAATCTTTGCATGATTTTAATTTCAGTTCACCACAATTGTTTATGTTGCCAGTGTTAAGGCGAAACACCCTCAGATCATTTTTATCGTAAGCCTTCTCAATCGACATTCTCTCCTCTGTCCTTTGACTAACAATCTGCAGCCTATCAAACAACAATATCAACCAAAAACACTCTTCCATAATTGAATGTTGCCGATTGCATGATACTACCAGTGAATGGCGACTAATTCGAAAAGATTAAGCGCAAAAATATTTCATGCGGTATTCATCTGCCACAATTAAAGTTGCAAACAACAAGACATATGCAAAAATACTTTCGAATAATTGACATTTGCTATACTAACACTGTTCACGCTATCCGCATAATATAAACGCTGCCACTACTCTATAAATGAATGACATTCAACAATTGTTTGGAGCAACAATTTAATGATGAATTACAGTGTATAACATGACCATAGTAGTGGGGATGGGGCAGCAATTTATACACATGAAATTTGGAAAATTCTTGTTATTTATGGATTGATATAGCAAAAAGAATTCTCAGAGGGCAGGAGATGAGAGAGAGGACTTTGGCAAAAAGTCATCCACTCTCATACAAATTTTTGGTCAAACGACATCATGCCCCAAGTTGGATTGTTACTTCCAATATATTACCTGTTTCCGTATACGAAAGTAATGAAAGATGAATAACCGTACTAACAAAACTGTTCTGCGCTGCCATGAACAACTAGTGGAGAAAAATACTCAGAAAATTCAGTAATCAAAAATTTTTGAAAGTATTCACTGAAAAAAGAGAGAAGATAAGAACAAAGTTTTGTGTAGAAGTATTCTTACATGAATGCGAGCAAGTAAACGGTGATATTTGATGAATGAAAGTAATGAATGAAACAAATATGTGCTGGTATTGTTTTGGAATGGCATAATGGAAGCAGACAACAAAATTGTTATTTGATTGCCGTGTGCATTTAACTTGAACAGGCATAAACGCAGGAATAAAGAAAAGTCAATTTTCATTGAACTGAATAAATCATAAGCATAAAAGAACGAACAGAAAAAATTTTTAAGGAAACTAATTGAAAGAACTGATTAAAGACGCACGCAAGAACGCACAACAAACACCTTAATCAATACCATTTCTTATTGACGTTCATTTGATCGGCTCATATCAAATTTCAACTTCTTCATATAAATCAGTTTCATCAGTCACAGTTTTCTTGATAACACTATTCGTGATCGATTATGAAATAAGTCAAATAATTTGCTAGAAAAATAGTTGTTAAATAATTGTAGATACATTCGCAAACAAAAAACATTTTATCATCGTCATCATTTTGCAAAGATCAGCAGAAAACAACGCAGCAATACTCCTGAAAAATATCATTGTGAGTTCTTTAATATTCCATAAATTTTCGAAGATACATCATTATTTACCCTCTCGAAAATCATCCTGAACAAGCTGAGCAATCTGCGGTCGCAACAACGAAAAAAAAAATTATTCGCTTTTCACAAGCGGACAGACGCAGACATTGATAAAAATGTTTCTCTCGTTGCAAAATGTTTCTCCCATAATTTTTTGCTTTTTGACAAAAACCTTTAAAAAATTTTTGTGCTAAAGCGTTTAACATTCAACACTCTTCATTACTGCATTTCTTAGCAATAAAACAACCCACAAAAAAGAAACCATTAAACGACGTTCATTTCTTTAAATGAATCCGAACGACCACTGCCTCAATACTCTCTGTCGTATCAGTGAACAAATCAATTCTCATAACCAGCACTCACAACTAGTGTTCTAAATACCATATTAGCGTAATCCTGATCGTTCATGATTCACCGATATTTCTCCAACCAATAAAGAAAAACTAAGTGGTTGTTTGGCTCCAACAAATTCCAAGCTCAATTCATCCACTCTAATGTACTTTCATTAGAATCGCAATTTTATTTTGTGTTTTAAAATTACTGACGGAGTTCAGTGCAAGATTCTGTTCACAATAGAGCGTTTTACGTCTGACTAAAAAAAAGAAATGATTTCATGAACTAAAGAGGTATTCGCATAAGAAACAAATCTTCTTGAGCGTAAACGAACTAATTTTATGAAGAAGAAATAAATCCAAAACATCACTTCAATAAAATGATTTATAAAGCATAAACAAATAATAATAATAATAAATATCGAATACAATAATAATGGTTGGTTGTTTGATGATTTAGGAATGTATGGTGCATTTTTTGCGAAACTAAAAGATAAAATTAATCAATCGTTTAAGGGCGCACAGAGGAAGAGGCACCGGACGAAAGCATCATCATATTCAAAAGCTAAATTGACGGAATTATTGTTCTAAATTCACAACGTCCAAAGAGCACCCTGTTCTTTGCTTGCCAATAAAAGCACTCTATACATTATATGCATGAATATTATTGTTACGAAACTGATTATGGTACCCAGTTCACCCGGTTGTGTCTTTTTCCAATATTAGTAGGCTTGTGTGTAAAGTGTTGTCGAAAACGAGATAATATAATAACAGCATCATTAAGTAATGATAGAAATAATGACAATAACAATATTATTATTAATAATAACATAGAATATTACTAATGGTATTATTACACGATTAAAACTCAGTGGTTTGCATATTCAAAGAAAAACACATATGCTTTCACACTTAAAACATAGCGCCTAGAGAATATATTTCGAAATGAATGAATTAATTCTTTATTCATTTATTTTTTAATTACATAAAAATAAAGGCGTGCCAATGCGTTCACAGTTACTAAAATTCCCGTTTCACTTATTGCATACCAATGGAAAATGTGCCGTTTAATGGATATCTTCGCCAACAGAAATACACTAAAATGAACTGAACCAGTATTGAGCGAACAAAGCATTCATATATACTGAAATCTATTTTTACAAACACAAATATCAACTTTTAGTCATCAGGAATGAATCAATAAAACTTTTTTGATTCATAATTCGAGAAACGAAGCAAATTATTACACAAAGATGTTCATTAAATGGCACAGTCGTTCATATCTGAGGACGAGCAATCGCATTATTATTAGCTAATGCACGCTTACATGTCGTCACAGTAAGATGATGATACAAATTTCATTTCTTTTCAATAACAAAAAACAGAAACGGTTCATCACATCGAACCACGACCATAAACAGATATAAAGGAGGCGAGTAAGGCAAATTAAATTTCAACTCAAATTGACGCGTTCACCAAAATCGCTACGCGATTATCGATAATTGAAAAACCCATCATATTCATTCACCAATCTATTCCTTTAACGGTAAACCACGCTTAAGATCGTCGGTCAAATCCGAACCTAGAATATTGCATTGCTGACATCAATTTACATCGATGTACTCAATAATCACACAACCGAAAAAAGATTTCTCAAAATAAACATTTCAGTGCATTCAATTTGTAAAAAGACAGATGAAAGCATTCCAAGAAGACCATGATAAGTCAATCTTCAATAGACTATGATTTATTTTCCAAAAAAAGTTACTTTTTGCCTAAATTCAATACTAATTTCAGTACTACAAAGTAAGCATAACAAAGGAAATTGAGTGAAAAAAACAACCTTCAGTGCCAATACTATCGAGGTCATCGTGAGGACTACTATTACGGATGTTATGGATTCGTCGTCCACCTAGAAGAGTATCACGCGGTGGACGTCGCTGACCACGAAGGGTTGTATTATCTCTAGCGAGTGTATCGTTTGCCTCATTCAAATCATCAATCTCCCTCTGTAAATTACGCGCTTTTGTTCGTTCACGAGCCATTTCTTCCTCCATTTCGTCCAGTTGTCTTCGTAACTGACGTGCTCTAACGTTCGCTCGATCAGCCTGATTTTGAAATTCATCACTCAATAAAAATGATTACACAATGAAAGTTGATCTCTTCAGGTTGTCGTAAATCTTCTCAACACATATGCAAAAGCTGTAAGATTAACAATAAACCAAAATCATATGTCAAACTGAAACAAAATTGTATAGTTGACCTTATTGAAACATTTAACATTATTGAATGAAAATTTTCTTTTTTGACAAGAAAATTACGGTTTAAGTATCATAAAAGTCTTTATTCACTTGTTCTTTATGCTGTTCCGTATTGCGACGCTCATCTTCCAACTGCAAAATAGCATCAGCGAGGCGCTTTTCAAGACGACGACACTGCAATTTTATCGAAGCTCAATTTCATGAACAAACAGAAAATCACAGTTGCGCTCGTGATTACGAACGATCCGGGGACGTCGACAATAAACTAATCACAATTTATGTTTACCTCATCACTTTTTAACAAGGTTCATCATAGACCGCAGTCGTGAAAGGAGTGATATGATTCAGCATTTACAACAAACCTGTCGAGCTGCATTCGTACGTTCCAGTGTTTCTGCATTGTATTGCTCTTCCAAGTACTGTATTTTCGCTTCAAGAGCGGCAAGCTGAGCCCTAGCGCGTGACTGTGTTGATGCTTCAAGTTCGGATACCTTACCCTTCAATTCACGATTCGCTCGTTCCAAAGCCTGCTTCTCTGCATCTAATTTCTGTGACAGAGAGCGTTCCATTGAGAGTTCAGTAGTTAATTGTTCAACCTTAAACAATAACATCTGATATGCAATACACATTCAACTGAATCAAAAAAGCAATTAACTATTATCATTTACGCATTTAAACAGCTACGTTTTTCACTGAAAAACGGAATACGCAGTTGATCATGCTGATAAATTTCATTCACACTGACAATTATCATGAGCAACTGATAGTATTCTTGTCAATATTCATCATCATTTTTTCGATTTAAATAACAATTGCGTGGTTATGTAACCGAATTCAGAAAATTTGCTGGTAATACTACTACTGCAGTGAAAATACGATAAAAAAAGCTCATGGCACAATCGTTTAACCTGAAGCTGTGCTTTACGTTGCTTGTCCGTTGCCAGTTCAATGTTACTTTGTTCCTCTTCGATTTCCTCTTCAAGTGCAGCGATTTTCGATTCGAATCGTCTCTTTTCGTCGATATTCAGGCTTCCACCCCGTCCACGTAACTCTTCCAACTCATCTTGATCAGCCTCCAGCAGTCGTTTCTGATTAGTCAACATCTCATTAGCCTCCACCAGACGTACGTTTTCCGATTCGACCGATCGAAGTCTGCATTTCAAACAATCAATTTGTTTCAATGCTTGATTATGGTCACTGCCCTTAGCAACTTAAATCCTTCTAAATTTATCGTTCTGAATAGTGAGTAGTTGTTGCTCCGAATTCAACTCGGCACTCAAAGCATTATGTGATTCTAGCTGAATTACGAATAGCTTATTAAACTGTTACAACTCAATCAATGAGATGAAATATTGATAACAATTGACAGCATTCGTTAAAATTGCTATGCAGTTAAATGCTCCTGCATATTTAACCTGCAACGAGATGCATAATTTACAACTTACTTGCGTTCAATTTCACGTGCCGATGCAGCCAACTCCTCTTTGGCTTGACGTGCCTCTTCACAGTCATGTTGCAGTTCTTTCATCATTTGCTGATACTTCTTCAACTGTCTATTGTAGTCGTCTTTCAAACGATTCGCAACCTCTAGCTGTTGGCTCAACTCTGCCATTTGCGATTCCATCTTTTTGCGCTGTGATACTGCACCAGACTGAAATGAAAATTTGAAACTCTCAATGTTTCACACTCAATCATTTAGCAGAAAACTATGCAGTAATCCATATGACAAGCTCAAATGTTTATGAATCGAGATTAGATCATGGTATCTATCAGTTTGATACATTTGCAGATGTAGTCACGCATTTCTGATGAACAGTCTTCTCGAATACGGTTTGAAATGACAGAAAGTTGCTCAAGAAAACGTTCTATATTGGATCATAAAGAGAATGACTCAGGGAACAAACCTTCCCGCGACGCTCATTTTCCAATTCTGTTTCGAGATCACGAATTTGCTTAAAAAGAGATTTACGTTTCTCTTCACTTTCTTTCTCCTTAGTCGCCAGAGCACGCTCTTGTTCTGCTTTTAGTGCCTATAACCATTAATCACACTTAACAAGTGAACAGATAAGTGCATCAAATTCGTTTGAAATGAGAATGAAATTACATCCAATATTCAATTACCTGTAGATTGACGTCAAGTCGAAGTCTAGCGTCTTCAGCAATTTGTACTGCATCTTCAAGTTCTTCGATTTGTGCTTTTTGCTCTTGTAATTCCAGTTCGAGTTGTCGCTTTGCTTTTTCAAGTTCATGAACACTTTTTCCAACATCATCTTTTGTCGAAACCTACAATAGTCAAGCAAATGTATTATCCTAGCAACCAATTTATTCATCTATAATGCATTTAGTCGATCAATTTCAGTTATGTCCCTCTACGAAACAAACTGAGCATACAAAGATGGAATTAATGAAGATTCAAAATTGAATGCAAAAAAAAAATTTCCTATACAAACGCATTATTTGCTTGCTAATGTATTGATATATGTATTTGCCCAATTACCATTGAAATTGTGAAGAAAATATTCACAGTGTTATGCAAAAAATAAAATATGTGGAGAATGAGCCATGTAAATAGGAATGCACTTTTCACTGCTTTCACTACTCAGAATTATTTCACTAGCACTTACCGACTCATCCAATTCCATCTGAAGCAAGCGTTTCATTCGTTCAGATTCTTCCAATTGTGAACGCAGCTCTTCTAGGTCGTTATTCAACGATAGTATTCGTGTTTCGCGATCGCGCGATTCTTGTGCATATGTATCGCGTTCGGCTGAAACCTGAAAAAAAAAACAATTAAATTATCAATTGAAACACTACAGAACTATCTGCTATTAGTGATGATAGAACAGACTTTTGCAATACGACTTCGAAATATGAGCGAAAAAGAGATCAATCGTATTGTACCTATCAAATAAATAATGCCCGTTAGGCAACGATAATCCACAACAATACGTGCTGATTCACGACGACTGATATTCATATTTGCTGATCGAAAGAAAAAACACTTAAGATTAGTGTATTTTTCATCATGCACTGACGGCATTTACCGACAGCACAAATCGACTTCCTTAAAAAAATACCGAAAATTTACAACAAACCTTCTGAAGATTGCCACGTTCCTCGGCAAGTTGCTGATCGAATTTGCGCTGCTTCTTCTCCATATCACGAGCGTATGTTCTAATGTTGTTCAGCTCTACATTAGTGTCTTCGACCTGGAATCAAATATGTATTGTATTTGTTTCATCACGTACTCAATACTTTTAGCAAATTTTTACTACGCAAACCTCACATAGATTGATGATAACAAATGAGACCAATGCATCGAATACAATCGACTAGTGTTTTCAGATAACTTTGAATGGATCAATCAAATCAACTACAGATTGATAGAAGCAATTGAATAATATCGCTGAATTTATTCAATAATAAAACAATCATCAGCAAACCTCTTGCTGCAATTTCTTTTTCGAGCGGTCGGAACGATCGCGTGCAAGTTCAGCTTCAGATAGTGCCTGTTGAGCGATCTCAAGATCACGTTGGGCCTTCTTTTTCAGTTCTTCCATTTGTTGCAGTGCATCCTCATCAGCCTTCTTACGTGCTTCCAGTAAAGACGCACGTAACGACTCAATTTGCTGCAAACCTTCCGGATAGATCTAACTTCCAGCATAATAGTACCACCACATATTTGGAAGATTGGCATCTTTCATCAATTCACGATGGATCGAAAATGAATAAATAGTATGATTCATCAATGAAACAAATGATTGATCAGTAAACTGAACATTTAGCGAAGTCACTGAAGAAACGTTTCAGTTTTACTCTGGCGCTTTAACGTTACGCATAAAGTAGAAACACGCAAATAAAAACGAACCGCTTCGAGTTCTTTACGTTTCAATTCCATCTCTTCACGTAATTCAGCCGATTCAGCAATTTCATCTTCGAGTTCACGAACACGTGACTGTATGGCCAACTTGCTTTTTGTCTCCTCTTGTAACTGATCATGTGCATCAGCCAACTGTTGTTCAAGTAGTGAAATCTTCTTCAACAATGCTGACAAATTCTGTTCATCATCTTCTTTTTGCTTCACGATTGCATCCAATTCATTTTGAGCCTTCAATACATTTCAGCATTCAGCATACCATTATTTTAGCCTGTCGAACAGACAGGAGACACCATCAAACAAAATGGAAAACGACCGAATTATACCTTGAACATATGTGCACAAGAGAGAATGAGAGCAATTCTTGAAACAAGAAAACGCTTAATAGAATTATCCATCTTAACAAACCAAAAAAAAAGAAAATAATTTTCAAAGCATCAAAAGAGATAAATGAGTCCAAAGTTTCGTAGCAATTTACTTTAGCTAGCTGTTGTGTGGCAAGCAATTTTGCAGTTTCTAGTTCGTTGAAACGTGCTGTCATTTCCACTGCAGAGCTTTCGGCAAATTTTCTCTTCTTGTCCGCTTCGGCTCGAGCCGATTGCATTGCGGCCAGTTCGGCGGCTAACTCACTCTTCTCCGCATCGATCGCATTACGCGATTTTTCGGCTTGAGCACGCAATCGCTTGTGTTGCTCCATCTGAATGCACAAATTTCACCCATACATTACTCGCGTTATTCTTACAAAATTCTACCGTCCATAATCATTTACACTTCAGTCAATTCGATTCTCAAAAATTTATTCGTTCGAGTAGTAACCAAATGCAAAAAAAATAACACAACAGCTGTTTCATGCATAAAACTTACTGATTCAGATTTAAAGTTTGCATTGATTAGCCGTCATAAAAATTCGTTCATTCAATTCAGTCGAATCGTTCAGTAAAAATGAAAATAAAAACACAAAAAACTGAACCAAAATTTTGCGAAGAACAATCAAAATAGGCGATGGCACTAATCAACATTCCTCTTAAATCGGATGACTTTGCTCAGTTAATATTACTGATTTTAAGATAAAAATTGGTGTAAAGTGAAGAAATCTTTCGACCTGCTCACTGAGATCCTCAATTTGTCGTTGGTATTTTTGTTTCACCTCTTCGATCTTTCCCTCACTTGCAGCAGCCATGGAGTCAAGAGATCGCTAAATGAGAGAAAGTTTAATGATCGACTTCAAAAATACCACTTTGGTAGAGTTGTGAATGACGAAAAAAATCTTCAAATATATTTTCGGCGAATGAAACGGACTTGAAAATGACCCACTGAAAAAAAGCTTTTTTATGCATCAAATGAAATGAACCAATCAAAACAATTTTGCACTAACTGTAAGATCGAAACGGTATGATTCTTGTGAAAACGTGGATAATATTAGCAAATATGCGAAAGAATGATTAAAAAAGCAATTTACTGCACGAGAATAGAAACGTGAAGACCTTGAGTTCTTTGAGTTCGTCGTCTTTCTTTTTCTGAATTTCTAGTGAAACAGCCGTTTTATCAGCCGCTTCCAGATATTCGGTACGAAGTGTTTCCAGATCATCGTTGAGATCCCGACGACTTTTTTCTGCTTTGGCTCGTAAGCTTTTCTCATTCTCCAGGTCTTCTTTCAGCTCTTCGAGCAATGACTCCTGCTCACGAATTTGCTTCTGCAGCGCCACATTATTGGCATTGTCTTCGTCTGATCTGAAATTGTTCGTTGTTTATTTCCGAAAACAATATCTGTTTTCGTGGAAACACGTAAAAACCGATTGAAAGGGATATTACTATGCTGAAATTCCGAAGCATCTCCATCTTAGTGCCAACCGACTCATGGAATGTCAGCTAGTAAATGTGACCAGTGGTCAGCAGAAAAAAACTTATGGAAGCATTATTGTTATTAGCAGAAATGCAAATAGACTTTGCGTACTTTGTGAGGAGGACTGTCAAACTGGCTTCTCTCTTGCTCAACAATGAATTCAACTCTTCCAGCTTGTTTCGTTTCTCTTCTAGCAATTCCTTTTGTTCCTCTGCTTCGGCTTCCAATTTTCGTCTTATACGATCCAATTCAACTTTTGCCTAGAATGCACACACCACAGAGTTCACTGGTATTTGTGAAAGCAAACAAGAAGAATCACGTTAAATCTGACTGAATTCACAAGAATCTATCTGCATTCTTTCTGAGAATATAAGGTTGTATGAAGTGATTGCGATTTCAACGAATTTGATTCAAAGATTGAATGATCGAAAAAGATTGCAAAACAAACGATCTGATGCACTAATCCATTGAGTTACCTGTTTCTCTTTTTGAAGCTCTTGCTCGAGCTCATGCAATGACACCTCAACACGAGATCGTTGTTTGCCCATATGTTTAGCCTTTTCTTCTTCTTCAAGTACTTGATTTGACAACTGTATAGTACGCTCTTCCAGATTCTTCTTCTCTTTCATCAACTGAATAAAATGATCGATTGAATTAGTCATTCTTACGAATCCTATGTTTTTGAACACTTCGTTGCCAAGTGCATACGTAACCACTAGATGGATTACTTGAACTGTGAAACGAATGAACACCCACCTTTTCGAATGAATCATACAACTCAGCATGCTTTTCTTCGAGTTTTTTCCACTTCTGATCGACATTCATCTTGTCGAGCTGCAACTTTTGTCTGGCTTGTTCCTCTTCCTCCAACTGCTCCTCTAAATCCCGGACGGTTTCCTAAATTCAATTTAAAAAATCGCTAACAGTAGTCAATATTCATAGGGATGAAGCCAATAAAATAAGAACAATCCAATCTCGCAAATTCTTGAAGACAACAAACTACCCAGCTTGCATACCGAGGCAGCATAAGTATGATTTCGCGTGTATGACACTAAATTGTCACTTTGAGATAAACGAATAGAAATATTCGGAAGCGTTGCTCGAGGGAATTGGAATGTCTGTCAACGTTCATCCAATTCGAAAGCATTCTCACTCACCTGCAGTTTTTTCTTCTCTTCGGATGTCTTCCCTAGTTGCTCTTCACTTTCATCCATTTTTGAATTCAATTCACTCAACATCTCTTCCAGTTCATCCTTTTTCGCCGCTAAACGTTCACGACGTTCATCAGCCTCTGCCCGTTCATCACTTTCCTGTACACGAACGCAAGTATAACTTCAACAATGATAAATTACGACCATCGCTGATCAATATAGCTAATTGTAAGCGTGCAGGGTGATTCAGTGGCATAATAATAAATCTAAAGAACAACGGATAATGCTGACCAGCAAATACCATACACATTTATGCATGCATGTTCGAGAGGCTAACAAGACCTTCAAGTCGATTGAGAAAAAAATTAATGTGGAAGTATTTCAAAACGTAATGAATTGATCGATGGCTGATCATTAGTTCAGCTGTTAAATACCTGCTGAAGTTGTTTCTGTAGAACTGCCCGTTCTTCACTGAGCAGTTGAATGCGTTTTTCGTATTCCAGAAACTCAGATTCTCTCGCTGCAAGCTTCTCCTTAACAACTTTCAATTCTTCATCTTTGGCTGCTATTGCTGCTTCTTGATTGGTCACTTGTAACAGCGGTTTCACCTATAAAGAACGAAAAATTACACTGATAACATTCAGCGAATCGTCGCAACAAACCATGCTGCACGTATCTCAATAGATAGGCGTTTAGTCATAGTTGAAACGAAACAATTTGAATGAGCATCATTGAAATGATTCAAAAACGAACAACGAAGAGCATCAATGAAATATGTTCAAACAAGTTTAGACCTCCGTCTGAAAACTGTTTTCCATCTGACATAATCGAAATTCTAACATGGCTAAAGAAAAATACAACAGAAACCTTAGTAAACAAACGCCACCACTGCCAATTCCTAAGCTTAAGCCATGCCAAACCATTTCTTTGGAGCACACGAATCGCATTCGATTGCTGCACACGTTTTTGATAGAGACGTCTGGCGAGAAAGGCACGACACTGCGCTTGGAACGACACAATCAAATCTGTTAGCTTCAAATCGCGTTCTTCTTCAAGATGTGCCAAGACACCAGCACGGAAAAAGATCTTCGATTGACCGATCCGATACAAATTCGATTCTAATTCTAAGGCATCGACCATTTTCCTGAACAAGAGACTTCGTATGAATGAAGATAACGATATTCATGAGACTGGATGACAAAGTGTTACATCATTGCATGATCGAAACATAATCAACATATGAAGCTGATAATAAATTAGCGAGACCCAATACTTTACTGAAAAAAAAATTTTTTTAAAAGATTATTTGATGTCCTTTCATGAATGATTTCATTCTTCACCAACCTTACAGCTTCTTTACCATCCATGAATCCTTTTGGTATGACATTTGGAGTGAGAATTTCATAACGATGACGAAACTCTTGGAAGGGTACACGGTTAGGGAAACCTTGACGGCATATTCGAATACCCTCGAGAACACCGTTGCATCGCAGTTGCTCTAGTACAAGCATTGATGTGATTTTACCCGCCTACAATGTGTAAATAAGAATATGACTTTATTCGTAAAAAATCTTTGTCGTAGTTAAATGAAAGGATTTCATCGAATAAAATTCATCGCTTCTTCACCTTCTTCTCGTGATTCGGAACGATGCATCGAACGAAATGAGGATTTGTATTTCGAAGAGTGGTCATCAGGCGTGTCAACTGCTCTCTGTGCATTTGACTGACTGTTCGGAACATACCTTTCTTGGTTCTTGTTCCATAAACAGTTTGATTCTGTTGAGACGCAGAAATACTCGCATATTCAGCTAAAATAACGACCATAAATAGAGCTAGTCAATGATAATGACTCAATGACAATAGCTGTCCCATTGACGAAAACGAACATTTCATTGACATTGCAAAATGTTTGTTGACTTCAATAAAGTATTTGATGATGCATTGTAATCTTGTATCAAAACCATATTAATACAGTTCTTGCACTGAATATAATCCGACGTAAAGCAAATTGAATTATTATTAACATTGAACACAAAAATTACATGAAACGTTCATCGCACAGAAGATGAGGAATACAAAGAACGATGAACATGTCAAGTGCAATAGTTAACCGTCTCTATTATTATTCTAAGCGAATAAGTTGCAAATATGTCATAATACAAATTAGCAGAATGTATCAAAAGCAACAACAAACCATCTTTCCATATACTAAAAACGAATGGATCAGAAGAGTTTTGGAAGAGTGCGACAACGTTCTCGTTGAGTGGATCCATGTTCTTCATGAGCCATTGATCAGCCGAATAATCCACTCTGCCGGCGTAGTGAATCACCGCAAAATCAGATTTGGCTCTCATTTCAGGAATCACAAATTTTGGGTGTTTAGCGTGATTCACCAATAACTTCTCGACCAGTGATTTATCGGTTGCCTTCGGGAACAAACACTGTTCATCTAACAATGCCAATATGCCCATTGGCTGAAAATGAGCACAGCTTTATCACACTCAAAAAGTTATCATTAGACTATCAACAGACGAAGCTACTTTCGTTGGCTGAATACATTCTCTTGAAGATGTTATCAACGAACTGCTCGTCGATCAAATATTGTTGTGAATAACTATTTTGACGAAGCATTCTGCTACAGAATACAGATCATACACCACCTACAGTGCAACATAATTCAATATTGTTAACGAATCATCGAAAGCCAGCAGAGGGTAAAAAAATTCAAATTCTCGATTCGTATAAGGAAGAAACCTTCTCAATAAGATCGATTGTTGGTTGCAGATCAAGGCCAAAATCGATGAATTTCCAATCGATACCCTCTCGCTGATACTCTTCCTGTTCCAGTATGAACATCGTATTGTTGAACAATTGTTGCAACTTTTCGTTTGTGTAATTTATACATAATTGTTCGAATGAATTCAACTCGAAAATCTCAAAACTGAAATCATAATTGCAAACTGAGTCACACATAAACACCACTACTTCAATCAAGTGAATGGACGAGAAATAATTTTTAAAAATGGACACATAATTTACGCTTCAACATCAACGTAAATTCAACAAAATACTTCAGCAGTTATTGCCTGTAAATTGATTCATTTTGTTNTTTTTTTTTCAATTAGCAACTTCTGCTAATGAAATTGGAAGTGAAATTTTCGTAGAATGGAATAAATCAGAACTAAATTGAAGATAGATTGATCCTGTTCATAAAAAAAAGAAACAGCGTTTCATTGAAAGATAGCATCAAACGAATATGACTCGTTATGTGGAACGATGAAAGTGCACAATGTCGCAATCATTTACCCAGCGATATCGAGGATACCGATAAATGAAGCGCCTGTTCGTCGCGTTCGATCCAGTGATTTGTTGAGTCTTCCAACCAACCAGCAGAACATTTTTTCGTAGCATGCCTGAACGAATATACATTCAAAATACGAACTGATCGAAAATGGTCAGCTCGACACAATGGTATTTGTCTACTCAGCATTTGTCCACTCTGAACTAATTCGAGCTTCAAATATAATATACTTCTGCACAACACCACAATCTCAACTATAGCCAACGATACAACGCATCTTTGCAATAATACTTAGGTGAGGTCCTCTGATTTAACTCACTCACAAACAGTTGCACAAAGCAACTAGTTCTGCTTACCTTTCCAATTGCTTCAACCGCGAATTCAGCCTGTTCCTTATTTTGTGACTTATGCACGAACTCTTTTCCAACCTTGATACGAGGCCTTAGAAACGCTTTTGTGAATTCGACAAGTGGCAGTCCCAATAGATGACACAATTTTTGAGCGACTGCAAAATGAATGAGTTTATCCGTACTTGATCAAATCGCAATGTGATCCTATGAAAACTGAATCTGAGAAGTCAATGGATCCATATTTATAACCAGTTGTCTAATAATACCTCTATCATCGGGTAAAATTGCTTGATCAGATTTCTTTTCTTGGAAAAATTCCATATTGCCGAAAAGAAGAACCGCTGATACCAAACGAAGAACAGCTGAAAAAAGAGACAATATAAATGAGTTGCATTTTTTTAGATTGATGGAATCTCGGTGGTGAACGGATCCGACAAACTAATGAAAATGACAAACTTAAGAGCATTATTTGGAATCACTTCGTGAAAATATTGGCAAGAGAACACTGAAACAAGACTCTTGTTGCTTTTTTAGAGGCAACTCGTTTTTCAACCGAATGCTTTGATAGTCAACATCATCCTTTATCAAGTTCCTACACGAAATTAACTGAAAAAATCTTGAATTCTGAGCACACAATTTGACGTAGATCCCTAATGAATACCGAATTCAACTTACAAGTAATCTCGTCATTATTGAAGCCCATAATTTTCATCGATCGAATCGTATTGTGGAATTCGGTAGCATCATCAACGTTTGGCACACAAATATAACCATTGTTCAAGAATCGATACTTATCGACTTCTTCGAGTAAGAAGTTTGCTAAAAACGAGAAAGCTGTTTGGAGGAGATTTAATGCAATATTTCTCAAGTTTCAGGAAATATTCATTTCCAAGAATGCATTTTGTGATGAAATTAACTCCCTGACAATAAGCATGCATTCATCAGATGAATCTGAAGTAATTTTTTGACAGTCTTTTGCATTGCAAGAATTGCATATCTTGCTTTAGTTTCTAACCTCTTCGGTTTGCATTTCGATTTCTTCAGCAACTCAAGCGCATCAATTCTTGAATTATTTTCCATTCTGATCACATTTCTACTCACTTTCTCCAAGTAAAAACACAACAGTGGTGAGAATTTTTTATAATTTTAACCATATATCAGCCATTTACTTACATACATACACAAATGACTGCACAACAAGTATGTAAGAACAATCGCTTTCAAATATCAATCTATTACTTTCCATAAATTTATATACTGTAATTCTCATGAGCACTATGAGATGTCCAAAAAATAGTTCATTCTCAACAGATTATCTAAATACAAAAAAAAGGCGAAGAAAATGACACGCTTTTTGGACAAAATTTGATTGTAACAAATGTTTTCTTTTTTTTTAAAAAGAAAAGTTGCTTTTTTTTGGGAATTTCGATAAGTCAATTTTAACTATATATGTCCACAACAAAAAGGGATGGATATGTGGTGCGATGATATTGCAGCATGAGCGAAGTGGATCGTGATAAGATCATATCGCTTCAGTGATGATCACATTGGGATATGATCAATCGTTCTCAGCGAGCACTGCATCAACCTATTCTAAAGTGTTCGCTCTAAAAGTATGTTCGTAATGCGCAAAGGTCAATCAAACTGCTGATGAACATAGATGAGATAACAAACCAAATAACTTCTAATTAACATTCTCCTATTGTTGTCAACCAAGTCGACAAGCACTCACATTTACACCAGAACAAGAAATAGTTCACATTAACGCATCTCTGTGATCAACGACTCTCAATAATCATACTTTTCTCAATCACTAAGTGAATTCCAATAATCCTCAATAGATAGGAATCTAAGATTGCTCATAATTCACTAGAAATATTTTCGACTTTAGCGTCAATGAAAAGCTGTCGTTTCCGACACTAAATTCACCAATCTCGCTGTGAATGATCAGAATAAATTGACAAAAGAATGAATGTTATTCCTCCAGATAATCACACACACATATTCTAGTCTCAAATAACAAATCGAACAAGTTAAATGGGAACACTCTGATCAGGTGATATGTTCTGTGATCACTTCAAGATTTTTCCAAAGTCTGCTTGGACAATACATGCGCACGCAATAACTTATCGAAACTCAACTTTATGTTGCAAAAGATCTGGAAATTACCAGTTATGGTTCATATATACGACAAAAAACTTTATGAGTGGCAACAGTGATCCGAATTTTTAGGAGGACACATCTGGCATAATTCTATTATTAAATGATTAAGTTAGTGAAGTAAGGTATTGGGTGCAACCGATTGTTCTGTGCAGAGGTTGATAAACATTCAGTGACGGTTGCATTTTAAAATGGATGATGAATATGCACGAAAAATACGAACAAATCAATAAGACAGAAATAATTGAAACCATATTACTTTTTTTTCCTCATGTTCACGATGCAATCGAGCAGTGCTCAGCAATTATTTCATTTTTAATGATTAATATAATCGTTATGAAATAAACCAATAATAAATCTGAGGGTAAAGTGTACGAAAAGCATAAAATTTCATTTTGCTTTTATTGCGGATTTGAACAAAAAAAAAACGCTAAATCAAGACCGAAATTTGATCGATCATTCAAGTTGTAAACTATTTTTGCAACAAATCTATCGGCTCCTTTTCATGAGATTCATTTTGCTAATCGTAAGCATACTAAAAAGACACTACAATTTTAGGATAACTAATTTTAACGAGCATTCAGGAGTGGAACATGATTACGACGTTGAACAGAACAGCCTTGTTCGATGTATTTTTGATGAGAAAAATGTCGTGGTTTTCATCGCATCTGAGCACGCATGTACTTGTGCGATTCAAAAACTTATTTACGAACGTCGGAATTTGAATTCTGTCAAGGTTTTCCAGCAGCATCATTCAAAAAACCATTACTGAGCCTAAATGCAACAATCCCCATAACACACTCACTATCTAAATGTTTCCGTTTGAATAATCATTAAATCTACGGTAAACTAAACTATAAAGTCCTTCTCGTACATGCTCCACAACGTAGAAAGTTTCTTCGTATGCTTAATGTTTAATGTTCTGATTAACGAATCAATGATGACAATATAATTAACAACACTCATGCGTGTTACTGTTACTGCTGATTTATAAGTGCAATGAGCATACACAACAAAGAAGCAACTTAGATGCTTACGTGACTTCATGTTTATGGGGAATGAGGGGTGAGAAACGACAAAATTGCTGATAAGAGCAACAACGACTGGTGTCTTTTGTGCTACAGACTCATTATTAGTGAAAGCAACAAACCCTTTTCGGTGGGAGATGTACCGCGTAGAAACTGATAGAAGATATGGAATGATCGTTCATCAGCCGCCTGGCGTAAAGTTCTTGATTTTTCCAGCAAGTAAAATTCGATATTAGCGCCACATATATAGCCAGACATATCGAAATTAATACGAATGAATTTGCCCTGCAAAAAAATTGACGTCTTCAAATGCAATAGCTGATTACTGTAAGAGTTTGTTGATATTACACAGTAATACCACTTATTGAATCTGTTCATGTAAACAAGTGAAGATACAAAACAATGAACCACAAATATATACCCTGGCTGCATTCAAATAAGAGCAAACAACTTACGAATCTCGATGAATTGTCATTCTTAACGGTTTTGCTGTTGCCGAACGCTTCCAAAATTGGATTCGCTTGCAGCAGTTGATTTTCCAATTCACCCTGAACGACAAAACCTAGTATTACGTACAAATAATAACAACACTATAGTAAGACAATAACACGTCACAGTACACTGGCACAGTGATCGTTGAGACACGGATATTGTACATTCAATTAAGTGCTTCAGACAGGAAATTTATTGCACATTTGCCAGTAGCGACAAAACGACAATTGCTAGAACTTAAAGGTCAACATTTGCATAACATCCGTTATACATGCACATTTGACCACAACGACGAGTCTAATCAGTTTTGTTAGGGTACATTCACAGCCATTTTTGATGCGTTGAACAGATGGATATTCGGTGAAATTGATGTGTTAAGAGAGAAGTCCAAGTTTATGGAAAAACATTCAGACGGAATAGCAATCCACGTTAACGTTCCCATCCGGAATGCAATATTCCGGCTTAACTTATCATCTAACGTTCTCCTTCGTTGAGGCTATTAGAATAATGTACTGCAAGATAGCTTCCCGAAAATCCTTGCCTCTTTAGCAGCTTTCCAGTTATTCTCAAATTAGCAATAAACACTTCAGATTAGCATTCCGGTTTGATTTTTTTCTGAACTGCATCAGTTGTAGGCGAATTTTGGTGGGATATTATGAATAACGGATCCATGCTTTTAACAACTCAAATTCCGATTGTATCAGTGAAAAAATGTAATCGATAGCAGTAAACAAACGTTTCGCACAGAAATAAAAACGTTGAATGGAATGAACATAATCAAGGCGAATTGCATGTGTAATTTGCAAGCATTCACAATTCGTCTAAATGAACAGCCAATGACAAGGACGAACGATTAGTAGCAAACATGAGAAGCATCTTATACTTTTTTTACAAACAAAAAAGTACTGAAAGCTGACTGCTCACAATTCCACGTATTCCATAACAATGTATTGTTACTTCACAATTTTTGTCTGAATCAACTGAATTGTTATCGCAAATTTTGAACGCTAATCAAACAAACGGCTACCACGTACAAATGTGAGCAGCATACTTCACAGAAAACTGCGCCGCAGATTTAATCGTTTAAAAACGTTGAAAGTGGCGTTTCATTGATTGAAGCGCTCAACAGAATTTCCAAACGAACTATTTCAGTAAATATTTTCAACGTGATTAGATGCGAATAGCACATAACAAAACAAAAATGCATTAAACAAACAAAATGCAATAACAATATCGGACAGCCAAATGGACAAACGAACAGAAACGGAGATGGCAAACAGAAAGACGACTAACGAAAGGAATGACTGATTGAAGGCTTTATCAATGATAAAGTATTAAGCATTATCATTATCATCAAAAAATGACTTACGATAACGTTCTCGAGATCATGTCTCGGCTGCAAAAAAAGAAAACATTCAAATAATCGCTAAACGAAAAGAGATCAATTAATTAAGTGATCATTGAACGTGGTTTTAATTGAACGCAGCAATGAACTTGAATTGTTTTCTTGTCATCAAGTCGATCAAGTTTTACTTTTCGTTTCTTAAGGCCAAGTGACAGTAGCTAACAGAAAGCATTATTTATGCACAACGAGTGGATTCTTCAATCAATACACAAAACTGAACATCACATAGAAACACAAAACAGTTTTTCATCACACACTCGCTTGTAGTATCGTTCGATTTTTTTTTTTGTTGTTGAAATATGCAATTAAAAATTAATTACCATAACGATATTAAAAAATCCAAAATTAAAACACTAAGCATGCAAAAATTATGGAGTAGTAAGTATGATCTGAATGTAAATTTAATAAGAACTGCGTTTCCGCATGGGACGACTGAACTTTTTGAGAAAGATGACATTGCGAGAGTTAAGATGCACACACGAATGCTTACACTATAATCGATTCTGAGAAAGAACTAACTCAGAAACAACTGAAATGAATTACGCCTGACTAAAAACAATCAATGACCACTACAGCTGTGGAGTACTTGAACCGTTACTTCAATTATTTGAATGCTATGGATGTCGTTTTTCAAAATGAATAAAAACGTTACTGACAGTGATATTAGGTGATTTATTATATATATGAACTGTGAATATGCATATCAACGAGTAAAATAATAGAAAACAATAAAATGAAGAAACATTCAATAAATGACCAATACCTTTGCTGGTGAGGATGGCGTCTTGCTCTTTGTTGCACCAGCCACATAAGCTAGGTATTGAATCACTTTTTTCGTATTTTCTGTTTTACCCGCGCCTGATTCACCACTAGAAAACAATAATTTTTAACAATTAGAATGAATCAGTAAAAAGCCAAAATAAAATAAAAAGCGACCATGTAAACAAACACAAACTGAAATCACTGAAAAGGCAAGAATACAACGCAACTGAACGACAATCACTGTTATTCAGTCTAGACGTATCTGTTTTGTGTTCAATTAGTGAAAAGTGAAGAAAATATTGAAATGATATTCACTTGATCAATGTGAACGAATAAAAATACTTACGTGCATAAAATGGATTGATCCTCACGTTCTGAAAACAGAAACAACGTTAATACATTCGCAAATAACAAAACAATTGGATGATCATCAAATCAAATGAATAGTTCTTCATTGTTTGGAGTTATCAAAACGATACAGATTGCTTGTGCAGATTGAAAAATAAATAAATGATATACATAGATCAGTTGTTTCTTGATATAAATATATCAAGAAACAACTGATATCAAGCCGTCCTCAAACACTACAATGATCCTTTTATTTTCAGTGAAAAACTTATTCCAATTTAGCGAAAATTACAGCCAAAACTGATTTGTTTTCTTTTTTTTCGTCCAAGATCCTTTCCTTTTATGGCAACATTCAAATATGTTGGCTATTCAAACAAAGACGTGTTTTTGGTCAGAGAATGAATGCTAACGATAATCCCTCACTGAATCGATTCTCTTCGCATTTTTTTTCGATTTCATTTCATCACAACAACGACATAATTCTCGCAATAATTATGCCTCTCTTCACCACTCTTCGCCCTCATAACACAACAACCATCTATTTGTTGTTTACAGAACTATTGTACTAGAAAATGTGGTTAGCATTTAAAATGCTTCTCTCGACTTCATATCCTTTTGGTATGTGAGTTCGATGAGAGAATTTTCGGTGAATAAACAAGTGATGTATATCGAGCACAATAACAGTGCAACGACTTGCTCACTTAAAACACTCAAAGAAGAAACAAAAAAAATATTGTGACCTTCAATGGAAGGTAGCTTAATGTCCATATTTTAGAAAATTTCATCAGAATTTCAAATGTTCTGTAGGAATTATTATTTAACAGAATGGATGAAAGAAATTGCACATATATGAGAACCGATCGTCGGTACGTGGATTATGAACTGCGGTTAGCAATTCATCTAGCGAAACATTGACTAGAAACAATGTATCAGCGTTCACCGACACATGAACGCTGGCGTTGTTTGAATGAAATTCACAATTAGGAATGTTCATTTTTGCCTTTTATTTTCAAATGAACTTCACTCATATACTCAACAAAACCAATGTGCTTCATCGTCTGTTATTTTGAAACAAATCAAGAAGTAAGCGAAGTCGTGAATGCAACGTTTAGAAAATGATGAAAGATATCTAGACGATATCTATTATTTTGTAAAATTGCCAAAGAGATTTGCGAAAAAAACTTGAGTTTTTGCCATAAAAAGTTGAGTTTCATTGAAAGCATCAGAAAATAATTTCGGTTTGAACAATGTGTTGCGAGCATACGATGTACATTTGATTGGCAATAGATGGGTGAAGAAGCATAACGTGAACGAACCTTGTAGCATCGAACGATATGCGGTATCGGTGATGGCGAATATGTGCGGTGGCATTTCATGACGCTTCTTGCCTTTGAAAGCCTCAATTAACGCTTCCGAATAGATTGGCAACTTCTTATAAGGATTTATGACCACACAGAATAGACCGGAGTAAGTCTGCAAACGCATTCATCTGCTTCAATGATGAGCACTTCAATTAATAACTTGCTTTCGGCACGCTTCTCAATCGATACACGAAACAATAAACAAGAAATCATCGCTGATATTGACAACATATTTCGATCAACAATTCACGCTTGGAAAACGAGGAAGTTAACCGTGATTAGTCTCGATAAAAAGGAGGGAAAAGGAAGGATATTCACTCACATAAATAAGTGATGAGAAATATCGTTCCTTGAGATTGTGAAGCACAGATGCTTCGTTAAGGCACGTCAATTCAGCCATATCTTCCACTTTATCGAATTTTGGTGGATTCATTTTTTGTATATCATCTTTGCTTAACGTCAATTTCTGTAAATTTCATTGCACATTTATTCAATTATTGTAGCACTTATCAATGTCTCAGTAAATTATATTAGTGAACAATCATTGTTACATCTTAAGTTGTCGTTCATTAGCTTATGCTTTGAATATTGCCAAAAGTTTTGGATAGTTTTGCAGTTAGTATAAAATTGTATGAATGTATGTATGAAAACAATGAGGGAAATAACCCTTATTCGATCATGAAGTTGTTACGATTTGTAATTTCAAAAAGTGAATCAACAGCTTTGTTTTGGGGTAAACGAGAATGACAGAGATGAATGGAACGACTGAAAAGCTTCATCACCTTGCCCGTTTCAGCAATTTCTACGACCACCTCATCGGTACGATCCTCTTTCACAACACCCGCAACGAAGCCTTCTGTTTCGTGTGGTACCCAAACCAAACGTTTTTTGGACCATTCTGCTTGGAGTGCGGGATCAGCGACGATCCCTTTTTGCACCTAAAAATTGCTTTTTACTTATTCACTAATGCTTTATCTTATAGTGTTGGGCGAAAATCGGCAAATGAATGTGACTTCAATGAGTCAATGAATAAAATTAATAAACAATATCAAATCAAAATCATTATTGAAAACTGTTTAACCCTTATGTACGTGCTGTGCTTGCACAAAGAACATTCATGAACAAAAAAAAACACATTCAAATCGCAATCTCAACAACCGCACACTCCTTGGACCTGACTCATTTACGATGGAGAACACGTAAAGAAATATATTTAGAACGATATCACTCTGCACATATTTTAGTTACACATGCGATGTTTGTGCCTACCAAACCGATTGATAACAAAAATGCATTGGCCCTTGCAATTCGTTATCATGGTGGTATGGTTCTACTATACACTGCGGGTTTCTCATCCATGCCGCGTCTTTAGGATTCGAATGTAAGCTCATACAGTCTTCATGAGATGCACAGAGAGATGGAAAAATGTTTTGGTTACTTTAACTCTAGCAAGTTTGCGACTGATTCTAGGAATGAGTCACTTGAATACTACGACTGTAGAGCAGGCAATATGGCATAGGCCATATTAGTTATTAGTAACAGTATATGAAACAAGCACGTCCACCGTTTTCCGTTGTTCTAAGTGTAATGCTTGAATAAGTATTATCATTTCGAAGTAACTGCGCTTGCAGGCGATATAGGTCATTCAAATCTGCAAAACATGAGATGTGAAGGCCTGGGTTGCATTTGATACACCTTCATAAGCACGTGGTTCACAGGTTTTACATGAAGGATAAGTTCAGCATGCTGAGGCAACAGTCAAAAAAGGGACACTTGTTCTAGACGAAATGAAGGAGCTTACTCATGAGTGCTCATCCTCGATATGTGCACAGTTGTGGTCTGTATTATGCGAAACCGGAAATAATTAGAGATTGCACTAAAACAAAGTTTAGACAAATTGGCAATCGGTCATAGTTGGATGAGAAACTGCGTGGTCATTTGTATTAATTCGCTTCTGTGCGGCTTACAATGCTCTGATTATGCTATACTCTGACTATAGCACTAGCGAAGTCTGCATCAAAAGAATATTTCTCGAAGAATTGAGCCAAGCACTAATGAGTCGTCTCATCTTGATGAGAGGCAGTGGTGCATCGTAAAAACTCTGTTTTTAGAGGTCTCAAAAAGACATTGATAATGCCTTTTCAAGTCAGCGCACCGATCGTCAGCCATCTACCAGTGCCGACAGAAGGTGTTGCGTGGTTCGTTAACCTCAAGTTAGCGATAGGATCGGAGTATAGACAATCCTTCACCCGCACACAACCACTCAGTGCAGATATTTAGTAGAAGAAACAAAAAAAACTACAAATTATGAAATAATTTGTGTGATCAGTGATCAAATGTAGAGGATAAATTATGTGGGGATGGAACGTGGTCAGTAGACAACCTAAATTTGTTCAAACTAAAACAAATCGGCCTTTTCGCAGAACCGCTTGATAACATTCCCCTCGGCTTCACCAAGCTACTATCTGTGCAATAATCACTCATCGGAAAACAAATAGTAGGTGGCTTTACCAGACTTATTAACACCATTAATTAACAAAAAAAGACGTTAACAGCATACCAAGGTTAATCGTTAGTTTTCTTATTCTTATTATTATTATTAGTAGTAGTACTAAACACATTATTATAAGAGTAAGAAATATCCGATTCAGATTGATGGCTATTAAATGAATTCAAAACCTTCACCGTACGAACAAAAAAAAAACGGTGAATAAGAATAAATATTCAAGAACTGAAAGGTGTGATGATTCATCAATGTTATGACTAATCTCATGCGCATTATTTTCGTGACCACTTCACAAACAAAAAGAATCGCTCAATCATAATACGCCGTTGAACAATTTTATTCGATCAATTTATAAGAAAAATATAATATCAATATAAGAACGAATGCATTAATTAAGAATAATTGTACTAATACCTATGATTTCAGTGAAAATGTTTCAAAAAAAAAAAAAACAACCAGCCAACGACACTAATACCTCAAGATCACATAAAGAATAATTCTAAAAATGTTTATAGTTGTAAATTTTGAAGAGAAAATTATTTATTTGTTTTCTTGCTTGAAAATTACTTCATTTTTTTGCTTACCTGCAGATAAGAGATCTCTGAAGTGGCATTGTTTGCCATTTTTAACCGGCCACAATCGATAACGCCACTTGTCGTCGTCCTCAGGAATTTGTATGGCTGATCTATAAGAAGTCGAACGTTATTAGTGAATGGCTGAATGATGCGCTATTGGAATGTTCTTCCTTGCATTTACAATGGATATGATTAATCATTGTCGGTCGTTTCAACAACAATAGTCGCGAACGAAAACAAACGCCGCACACTTTATATGCTGAATTGCTTAAAACTACTACACATAACATAACGCAAACAGCACTCAAGAATAATTCTTTAAAAAAATAAACGAATATTATTGTACAACAAATTATGACAACATCAATAACGCTTGTGCTGCGATCACTTGTTGAAATAAACCGAATCATATAAAACAGTGTATTGCTGCTGAAAAAAAAAGCGCAGAAAATTGATTGAATTATCGACATATGCATTAGATGCAAACATACAAGCGAGATGATATTCCTTTCAAAACGTAACGCTCACCTCATAAATTATAATCACAAATGAAACATTCAACCAGGCTAAATTCATTTCTACAATACGTTTTCATAACGAATAAAATTAAAACGTTAATCATCAACGAGAAATAAACTCATCACTTCGTGCAAAAAATTTTACCGTTACTTTTAAAAATTTATCGAAATTAATCTCTTAACTCTTTACCTTTTTTCATTCAAAATATCCACCAGAAACGTGAAGATATTGGATTCGAAAACAAAATGAAAGAATGAAGAATTAATAAATAAATAATCAATTGAAAACGTAATCACATAGTGATACAGTTTATTGACGCTCACTCGAAACTAGCATATCGCCTTATCGAAAAATAATCGCAAAAAGAATACAACAAAAGAAGATTAAATGACAATGATAAGAATGCACAACTCATAACTAAAAGCATCGTAACAAACTGGCAATCAACTCCTAAATATTTCACCTGTACGAAATTTCACTAAAAACAACCACCGCTAACTAACCACCTCGGAATATTCCTCTACCTAACAGATAATATTCAAAGTTATTTTTTGACTTCTAATTCAATGAAAATCACTACGATCCTCCACGTAACATAACATGCAAATAACGCTCAAATGAACAATCATTATACTCAACCATTCACTCATCACTCAAATGAAAGCCGAAACTGAGAAGAGAGAAACCATCAAGCAACCAGCCGGATACATGGATGGATGAATGAACGCGTCCCTTGCAAACGTAATCACAATTATGAATATACTCATTAAGTGCTCTTATTGGTTGTACTCGACGATATGATACGTTATCAAGATAATATGTCAAACGCGATGAGTAATAAAAGTAGGCACAATCAGTAAAAAACCAATCCTTATCACAATAAATATTTCAGTCCAGCAACGCAAACACACATTTAATGGTGACAATGAGCTTGATGATGGGATATGACACAAACTTTTAAAACGCTTATCAAATTTACACTCGCCGTTTTTATTTCAGATGATAATTGAATGGCTACACGACCAATGTACGATTGACTCTTTGTACGTGTACAATGACGACCATCAAATGAACAAATTCGAATGAACGGATGGATAATCACTCGAGCAAGAGCATTTCATCACTCTGATTCATTTCGAATAAAAGTAACTAAAATTTATCCGATGGATTTAACCATCTAACAAAATTTTTTGAATGAACAAACAACAACAACGCATTTGAGAATGTGATAAAATGATCTAATATAAGTCACTGCAAACGGAAACATTCATTCATCACACGCATGACGACTGTCAGTGATTCACGCACCCGCAACATCACACCGTTCACATGTTTCTCATTATTCAAACCATCTAAACCATTCAATGTTCTGAATTAACCGAACAATTTGTCGTTCAACAAAATCACTTTCACGGATTTGCCATTACCATTATGGTCTGACACCTACACCTAGCATAAGCGATCCTTCAAAAATTCTATTGAATGTCACATTTTGTCTTATCAATACCAGTCTCGCTGTGAATGAAGTCGCATCGAAAACTCTATGCAACAATAATAAAATGATGAATTACAACATTGTCAACTTTGATTTCTTCGCATCAGTGTATGTCATTTGAACGTAATTATCTATCATCAAGAGACCAATCAGTCGATCACTACAATGTAAATGCTCAGTGAACAGACTACGTACGTTTCGTTATTTGTGCAAATATCGTTCCGAAAAACTGTTTCAACAAGATCAGCATCGGTAAAATCAATAAAGTTGTATGTATTAATGCAGTTCCAACAGATTAAACAGCGGATGGGTGGCGATCAGTTGAATTTGTATTCACTTATGAGTCATGAAGAACTATTCACCATAAAATCTCTTTTAAGAGATCGATTGGTTTCCTTCCAGACGAAAATTCAAGTGCACATTCTCTACTGCTTTATGAATTCAAAAAATGACGAGCATTGATGGTAAAACATTACGATCTACAATACCAACGAAAATTTGATCGTAAATTCGCGGACTGACCACTTCTTGAGAGTTCATATCGTTATTACTCAAGCACATCGCATAAGATCCAGACTTTGAATGCAAATGAAATCGCACAAATAAGTAACCTATGAATGCTGCATATAGTTTCTACGGAATCGTTAAAAAATCAGAGTAGTATGCGAAAATAGCAGACAAACAGACGACTCACTAGAGGAAATATGAGTGTTTGAACAAAATTACGTCCGCGACATGAAATCGATTCTTGTGCATTCATATGCACATGATAGCCACTTAACTGACTTCTGGAAACGCTTGCCTGAGCCTAACTATCATAATGATACCTATAAATCTAATGACGGCAAAAAGCGAAAGTGAACTGAGAACGAAAAGTGTCAGACGGAAATGTTTTGAATGCTGATATGGATGAACAAAATAAGTATTATCATCACAGGTACTAACAAATGCTGATATGCAAGAATAAAATAAGTATTATTATCACGGGCACAAACAACAGCAATTATTATTATGAAATGATCAATAATAATAATAATAATAATAACGGATAATAATAATGATATAATGACAAAAATGAAAATGCTATA